TTGTTTCAGACACTGATGCTAAGTGGCGTTTTCTCTGCTTTAACATTTGTACTTGATTGAAGCTTGAAGGTTTTCTCTCTATCAGATATTTAATTTTTAGCACTCATGTAGTTAGGCTTAGAACAAGAACTAATTAAAACCACTTACATAATCAAATTGCCAGAAATGATTAACATACCAAGATTTCACACATGGGCATTTTGGAGACAGTTCAGCTCTCTAACACAAACGTGCTCGGCTTCTATGGTGATTTGAACATTTAAAATGCAGAATTTGGATGTCTTCTAAAAAGTTCTGACGGTAACTGATTAAATAAGTTTAATTATTAATATCCAAATAGTCCACAAACTGAAGATACATTGTGCATGGGTTTATGGATTTTTTTTTTTAATCAATGTATTATTCTACAAATAAGTTGTAAACACCTCATTTGTTTAAACGCAAGGAAAATGGTCAAAGACCCTTGACCTAAGGGGTCACCATAAGGACTATTTTAACACTATTGGAATTTCACTTCCAATCTAAGGGGGAATTTGCAAGACACAGAGGCACTAAGCTTTTTTTTTACTCAAGAAAGAACTCACAAATAACAGATTTTAGGTGAGGACAATGGGTATCAACATAGCATAAAAGGCTGATCAGTGTTTATGTCTGTAGTCACTGGGCATTTGGGCCACTACTACAGACTCCTGTTTAAGTCTAGCTGGTGATCTACAACAAAATCCTTTATTTTAGTAGGGGTAGAAGCCATTTGCTCTATGTGGATGCTGTAAGATATCTTCCAGTAGGCAGCTGATTTCAAGCTGTAACCAAAGGTATTTGCATGTTCTATATCTGCTTTGAGAAGCAATCATCAACAGGATCCAGGACCAAAAATTCAATTCACATTATCAGCAAACAGAGACAAGGACTTTTGTTTCCTCTGCAGGGAAGGCTGCAATATGACAGTGAAAGAATTCTTTTGAACAAAGGACTCCTCAGGTGTTTCGAGAAGTGAAGCAAAAATGAATAATTGCTTTTCATTCTTCTTCAAACATAGAATCAGTTTTGTAAGTTCCATAAGAATTTCTTCACCGGTTGTTACTATTTTTTCTAATCTGCTTGGCTCTAATTATCCTCTGAATAAATATCTTATTTGTATTCTTATTTGCTCCTGAAACATTTTGCTATCGTTTGCATAATGAGAAAAGCTTATCACTGTAAATGTTTTTCTTCTCAAGGCTGGATACTGCATTCTTATACTTAGGAAACCTCTTCTTTACAGAGACTTGCAATGCCACTTAAGCAGAAATCACTCAGGATTTCTCTGTTAAAACAAATCTCAGATTAGAAGTGTGTCACAAAATGATGTAGTGCAGGTAAGATACTGGTGTAGAACTGAATTTTAAACATTAATATCTCACCTAATATTTAAGTCTTACAAAAATGGCTGGTGACACTTTTATGATTAAATGGTCTTGACAATACACGTTCCTTTGCTCATAAAGTCAGACTCAGTAGGTTACTTGTACTCAGTAGGTTACAGCAGGTTCAACACAAACTATGAGGAAGTACCTGGAAAGAAAACTATTCAGAAATTATAGTTCATATTCACTGATCTTTGTTAACTGCAATGACCATTAAACTTTGGCCAAGAGAAAGAAAAACAAACAAACAAACAAAACACCCTGCTTTTCATTGAATTGTATGCAGTATTACAATAATTTAAATGGTGTTTTGTACGGTGTTTGTGTGGTATTCCATACCACAGCACGTCATGCCCAAGATGTAAAACTGGGGGCAGTTACCTGGAAGGGTTAGCTCACTGCTCGGTTGGGCTGGGTATCGGTCAGTGGGTGGTGAGTGGTTGTATTCTCTTCCCTTGTTATTTCCCTTATCATTATTATCATTGGTGGTAGCAGCAGTGATTTGTGTTATACCTTAGTTACTAAACTGTTCTTATCTCAACCCGTGGGAGTTGCATTCTTTCATTCTCCTCCCCATCCCTCTGGGAGCTGGTGGGGGGGAGGGGCGGTGGTGGTGTGAGACAGAGACTGTGTGGCTCTGATTTATGGCTGGGCTTAAACCATGACAAAAGTGCTCTGGAATTTTTCTAAAATCAATACAAGAATACTGTGTTGCTTTTCTCAGTAAGCACTGAGTGGCATGTGGAGATGCTGATGTGCTCCCACACAGAATTGCTGATGACAGACAGCTTTATGAGGGCCAAAGTTTATTGTCCTGGACAGCAAAATGAATGCTTTAAATGGCTTGAAGGCTATGCAAAAGCAATTTAAAAAAAAAAAACAGAAATGCTAGTGCTCTTCCCTCTGCTATTCTGTGCTAACATTAAATCCAGCTGCAGTAGGATATAATAGAGATTCTGTTCTAGTGGTTTTGATCCCAAGATGAAATGAATGTATATTACGTGTGAAAAGAACTATTTTAAAATCTTGTCAAAAATCACTTTTGCATACTTGTTTAAATATATAATATGCTATAACCTTTTCTGACAGCAGCTGGCGTAGAATACACATATAGCTAGACAAAAAGTCACTGAAGTTTTTCAATTGGTTTCTCATTATTTTCTTCAAAACATTTTCTGTTGATAGAAACAACATTCTCTTGTGTAAGACTAAACTTTCTTAAGCTTGTCTAAGCAGGGTAAGATCCAAGCCACCAGAAGTGATAGCTTTTATGAATAAGTATTTTAAGTTTTTGTCACCAGCTTATCCAAAGACGAAGTCAACTGATATCATGGGATCCGTACCAGAGAAGCTATATGAAAAGGTGTTGTGGAGAAAGAGGAAATCTCAGCTTCAATCAGGGACATGGCAAAGGCAGGCACCATACACCTTTCAAATCTGTCCAGGATCATGCCATCTGAGGTGGACTGACAGGAATACTGCTGTGGGACCAGCATGGTTATGACTGTGTAGTGGCTCTAGCGTCAAGGTGAGTGATCACAGTGCGTGAGGATTGTGAAGCCAAGGGGAGGGAGACCAGAAGTGAGAAAATGCTGTATATTTATATATGTTATGCTATATCACCAGGGGAGATAATAGGGAGAGAGCAAGAGTGGCCTTGAAGGGAGATCATGAGGGGAGAGGCGGGGTGGTTGTGAGGGAAGATCGTGAGGGAACAGGAGGGGTGGCCATAAGGGGAAATCATGAGGGGACGGAAGGGTGACCATCAGGGGTAAGGGTGGTTGTGAGGAGAGATCGTGAGGTGAGAACAGTGGCAAGTATGGGCTTTGAGCGGTGGCCATGGGCCAGGAGGAGAGATCTTGAGGGGACACGAGGGGTGGCCATGAAGGGTAGGGGCAGCAGCTATATAGTGTGGGCCACTATGAAGGGGCAGATAGGGCTGGCTGTGACTGGAGACCATGAGGGACACCCATGAGGGGAGATCTTGAGGGGAGATCAGTTTGCCTTTAGTGACATGGTTTAGTGGTGGGCTTGACAGTCCTAGGGTAATGGCTGGACTCTTAAAGGTCTCTTCCAACCTAGTTGATTCTATGATTCTAAAGATATAATAAGATCAAGGAAGGTCCATGGATTTCACAGAGTATTAGAATGGTTGGGGCTGGAAGGGACCTTTAAAGGTCATCTAGTTCACTGCTGAATAAAAGTAAATTAAAGTGGAATCAAAAGAGAATTCTTGCTCTTCTTAAAGGTTTCTGGAGTTTAGTTTGAGAAAGTCCAGTACTTTGAATAAGTGTTAATTTTATGGAAAGGATCACTGAGAGTACCTTGCAGATGTCAGCAAACATATTCGATACGATACATTATATGGCAGAAGGAAAAAGAGCAAGGGAAGTGTCACGTTAAATAAAACCTGAAAATACAAATGAAAGAACTGGGGTAAGTAAGAAAGAAAGAAAACAAAGAGAGACAAATCGGCTTCATGCAAAGGAAGCGTATGTTTAAACCAAGACTGTGATGAATCTGAAAATGAATAAGATAACCTTAAACAAGAGAAGGATGTGGATGATAAGACAAGGATAAATCAAAAGGCTTGCAAACATACTGACAGCAGCAGAAAAAAAAAAAGGTAATAAATAAATATTTCAAAATCTAAGGAACATCAAACTTTCCCACCCACACAGCCAGTCTGAATTAAAATGCAACTAAGGTGCAGAATTGTCAGAAGAAATCCAAAAGCTGAAAGATCTTACAGGAACTAAAGGTACATCAAAAAGTCAGGAAAGGGAAGTAGATTCATTCACTGAACTGTGAAGACCATAATTTTACAAATTGTCAAAACATGAATTTATGAAATGATAAAATTTTAAATCCAGTTGTTTCACAAGAATCCTGATGATTCCTGCAGATTCAAGCACCTGGTAGAACTTCTGCAAAACTCATTACCCTTTTCCAGGACAATACAAGGAGTTCAAAATGGTGCCATACTGGTCTTATCCAACCTAAATGATTCGGTGATGCTAAATATATTCTCTGCTGTAGTCACCAAAAGCGTATGATTCTATGATTTTACTGTTTTCAGTTATGATTACAGTATTATCTTTTCTCTTAGAAGAGGAGAAATACTCATTCACATGACACCTTACATCACAAATACTCATTAAACTCCCAATTCCAATACTTAGTAAAAGAGATTATCTTTCAGGATATTTCCCACCCTCACTTAAATGTTCAGGTTCCAGAACTTTGGCAGAGTTGCTTCCACCATGAAGTTTTAAAGGATATACCAAACACAAATGTCTATCAAAAAAAAAATCAAATAAACACTTCCTCACGTATAATAAAAAAAAACCACTTTTGTACTATTTTTATCATTTTATAAAAGCAACAAGGAAATTAACACTGATTTTTTTTCCCTCTGTTAGTAATTTTTGTAGTTAAATATGCATTAGCCAGCCATAATACTTATTTGTGTCTGCTGGAAAAATACACTTAGTTTTGACTTATTTTTCACTAGAGAAACATTATAAAATTCATAATAATAAATTATAGCTAAAAATTATTTCTACTGAAAAAAGGCAATTTAAATAGTAATACCTGAAACAACACCGATTCCATCATCACAGTCATAATCAGAAACTTCACTGTCACTGATTCTTTTGGACCCTGAAAAAAGAAAAAGAATCCAAAATGCATTGTTTTTCTTCCTGCAAGTTAAAACTATCCTCAGTCAATAATACGTAAATAAGTGTAAGGATTTCATACTGGACAATGAAGCATTAATATAAGCATATAAAGGAAATTATTTTTGTTGTATTATTGTAAATGTATTGGCGTACCAACTATTTTCAGCTAAATGTTTAATGTAACATACAATGAAATGCTGAAATACAGCTCAGCAACATTGCTTTTATGAAATACTTTCATATACTTTGTACCTATATGTACCCATTCCACATAGAAACTGGTATCACACTGTTCATTTTCAAAGTTTTTACATAAAAGGCACCATCCTTCCCTAAAGTCTTTCAATACCAGAAAAACTTAATAACAGCAATAATATTTAACTGAGGTAATATTTTCTTTAGGGTATTAGTAAGCATTATCAGAAGAGGCAGCTTCACGCCCTACAAGAATACATCTGTCAAAAAGAGTAGAGCTTAGTTGGTGAAAGCAGATTCCACATCCACAATTAGAACCAAGTAGCTCATGTAGGACAAATATATGTGTCAGTTTGTGTTTAGCTTAATTTTACTTCTGTCTTCTGTGGCATCTTTTCAACAGCATTTGATTGTTGACATCAGGATTGAGCACTAGCATGTGAATGATAATTATTCATTTACTTGTTTTAAATGTGAAAATCCCTGTCAGAAAGACAGTGTGTCTGTTCTAATTTTCTGGCCACCTAAAAATAGGTAACTAGAAGGTAGGAGTTTTAATATAATTGTTACCAAACCTTCAACCATGCGCAAGATTTTTTTATTCTTACCACAGGATGGTTTATTCTGACAAACATACCCACAAAAATGCCAGTAAAAACTGGGAGTAAAGCTAAAGAAGTCCAGGACAAGGCAGGATTTATGTTCTGTCTGAGGGACTGGAACAGAGGATCCCTACCTTCCTTTCCCAGTAAAAATCTGGGAGAATAAAGACCAAGAGGTTTTTTAACCAAAAAAAAAAAAAAAAAAAGGGTTCTGTTTAAAGGAATGTTAGACAACATTTGTATCATAAGAAATGCTGCTGTTTGTCAGACTATATAACATTTGTCTACCCACCAGGAATAGTGAGAAGCCCTTCTTTAGTAGAAAGAGTGTGCTAATGAGATCTGTATAGAAAAAGGCTAGATCCTTCTAGCTTTCAGCAGGTAGGGGTCCTGGTAACTGAGACTTTTCCTAAACCATCCTGTTTACCATAAGTCATTTATCAACCCATTCTCCACAAATTCATATAATTTCTTCTTGAGTCACAGTATTCTCTTGGCCCCCATAATATGCTGTGCCAGTGAGTTCTGCAGTTTAATTCTGTATTATGTCGAACAGACTTCCCTCTGTATTATTTCTACTAGATTATTTCAGACAATACCCGCCAAGCTTTTGTGTTCTGAAAAACATGAATCAATACTCCGTACTCCTCCACAGCTACCACTTTTCATGAACTGAAATATCGTTGTAGTTCCTTTGCATATGCAAACTGTTCTTATTTCTGATTGTTCCTGCTGTATTTGTTTGTATGTTTTCTAGTTCTTCTGTGTCTTTCATAATAAGTCAGAAGTGATTGCAGCAATCAAGATGTGGGTGTATGAATTTATAAACTAGACTGCAGACTATTTCTTTTTGGATGAAAATTGCTCTGTAAGAGTTTATTCTACTAGTGTGTGGCTACTACTACACTACTAAAGTGTGATATATGTTAATTATTGTTATTTAATTGTGGTAAGTTGAGTTTTCCTCACAAATAGGAAATTAAAATGAGTACAAGGAAAGCCATGGTTTGGTTTCCTATGCCCTGAAATTCTTACATGCTTGAATTATTAGTTCAATTTATTATAAAAGTTTAGAAATAGCCATGCTACAATGGGTGGGGAAAGGTGTCTTTGAATTCAAGAAATAACAAGTAAAATCTTTCTCTAAAACATGAAATAGCAAGTGATCACAGTTAGCACCTGAGACAACACAGAAGATGAGGGCAGGAGTGAAAGAAAAGGTTTCAGCCTCCTAATGGGCTTTCTGAGAATCAGGGTTTCTAAAAGCACATAAGTCATAACATTCTTGTCAGGACAATATTCAATCTGATTATTTTCTTAATTATAGTATCACAGAGGCCATATGAAAATCTCTCTTGCTTTCCAAAGAATGAGCATCCATTCCACCTGTGATGGCCTTCCTGCTTTTCAGGAGATCCTTCTACTGGTGTAGTGTTACACCTGCCAGTGAGCAAGAAGGAGTAGTTGCCATTCTCCTCAGCCACTGTTTCAAAATCAGGTCATTTAATAGGGACAAAATTTGTGATCAAGTGCTAAGCAAGAGAGCCCCACTAGTCTGGCTTGGATTTGGCTGGGATCTCTGGGGCAGAGGAGAGGCTGCACAGGGAGTGCACAGCAGTGCCGTTCTGGACTCTGGTAACCCTTGTACTGATCTGGTAGGGGGACTGTGGCTGCCGTGCAGAGATACCAATAACAGCAGTCAGGCTGTATCAGAGAGAGAGGACTGTCGAATGGGAAAATGAGGGTAACTGAGCAGTTTGCTAATGCTCATCATATGGATGCTTGGAAAGGTTTCTATCAAGAAAGATGTGGAGATTTTTAAGGATTGAATCGACTATAATTTGAATGAATGTAATTTACCCATCATTTAATTCATCCTTATGAATGAACCTAATTAATTACAACTGAGGTTGCTTATTACTTACGTTTATATTTACAGCTAAGTACATCTGCTTTAATGTATTTATAGAATATTATATTCTGTATTCTGGAGAAAAGATTTGCAACTTTGAGGATGAAAATAGCCAGCTGTTGTCACAGTAGGCTCTTGACTCCCCAGTTGCGTAGCTAAAATTGTGATCTTGCAGTCACAGGATACATCCAACAGAAAAGAGAGAATAAGCTTTAACAAACCACAGATATAAAAGACAGGGCTCTCTCTTTCTTTGTCCCCTCAAACTGCATCTACCTTTCCCAGAATATCCTAATACCTCAACTCCAAATAATCGTCCAATCTTGAGACCCTTTCCTCTTTTTATACACAGATGTCTGCCTTCACTCCCACTCAAGCTGTAGGGAAGAGCTGGGGAATAGGGAAAGTGAGTAAGCCAGGACTGAAACCTGCCCTGAGGTTAGGAGCAGAGACAAGTAGAGTCAAGGGAAGAATCAGATTTCAGTGCTTTCTTCAATTGTCTTTGCTACTGCAAAGATAAGGGTCTCTTGTAATAGTTGACACCCCTTAAATATGTCAGCTTTTTCTGTAAAATGAGATATGAAGCTTGTTGAGATCAGATCATCTATTCTATTTCCTCAAGCAGAGGCTACCTTAAGCCAACTCCAATTACTAACAGAATTAAACCAACTGAAAAATATTAATGTTCAAGTAATATTTCACATTTACTTATAAATGTAAATTAAAATGCTGGTTAAGAAGTCAGAAGAAATATAAACCAGAATAAATTACTCGGTTTTATCTTTACAAATCAATGTTTTCAGGAAGGATGGAGGAAGGAAAGCATGCCAATTAAAATATGTAATGCCAAGAAGTGCTGCCTGAAATATGTAACTTCTGCAAAGGAATAAAATTATATTTATTTAAATACATTATTTTTATATATATCTTCCACTAACTCTAGAAATGGAACAAACTCGAAAATGCAGAGGTTGACATCATATATAGAACTGAGTATTCAAAATGCCAGTATAATTTTGAAATTAAATTTTAATTTTATTAAACTAAGCTGGCAGCTTAGTTTAATATCTTACAATTTTTGCAATAGTAATTTCATCTGCTATATACTAATTTTAGACAGTAATTTTCTTTTTAACCTATTGACAATGTAAATTTGAAGATTTAGGCTTCAGTCCCACTTTAGTCACGTATTTTCAAAACACCACTTCATTATCTAAGCAATTTGAAACATTGATCATAAAATAGTGAATGAGAAGTTCACGGTTGGGAAAATGTGACAATGAAGCCTCTCAGAAGCTACTCTAAAGGAACATTGTTAATGAAACTGTTATTTTAATGAATATTTTAAAGTGTTTGACAAAACCATTGTAAAATATGGTACTTATTTCAAGAGCAAGAAGATTAAATCCATTCTAACATAAATTCAAAATTCAGGAAAGTTTACGCATGTAACACCTGGGACACCGGGTGCATCAAATAAATGCATTGATCTTATACGTAGTTTCCATATAATTAACTTTTCCTTTGAGGGAGTTCAAACATGAGGAATGGCATTAAGTCTCACTGCCATTGCACTGGAATACAGCTTATTAAGGAAACATTCTTAGGGATATTACTATTTTGTCTGATAACTGGGTGTTAACAAATGGTAAATAAGGACTTTTGAATGCCTTCCACCAGGATTGTTGGTTATTAAATTGCAGACTGAAGGCAAAACAGAGCCCGTGCTCTATGATTAGCTAGTGAGAGCTACATAAAAAATGCCTTAATTCTACATAACCCCATCCCCTGTGAAATAAAAAGATATATTATCATAGAATCAGAGAATAGTTAGGATTGGAAAAGACCTTAAGATCATCAAGTTCCAACCCCCCCTTGCACTAAACCATGTCACCCAATTCTTACTCACTTTGGCAAGTTTTCATTTAATAGCTTTAAACTATCAATGATATTGTTTTCCAGGGAGAGCTTATCTCAGGGACAGTGGAGAATCTCCCCATCTGAACTTGATAACCCTCTTTCCCTCCCACACCTACCTACCTCCTTCCCTACCACTGATGCACAAGCTACCATCCCACCCAGGATGACAACACTGCAAGAGTATATAGACACACTAGAACTGGACGATTACATTTGCATTGTAGCTTTCATTGCAGGGTTTAGGAAAAACCCCACCACCTAAAAATCATCAGGCCCATTATTTTCAATTTCCAGTGAAAAAGTACTTTCTATTTATATTTTTCTTATTTTATTTTTTTCTTTCTATTAGGCATGAAAATAATTTAAAATACAGTAGTTTCTTAGTGTAAAAACTTGTCAATTTTCCATCTTCATGGCTAACAATAAGGTAAAGAAAAAAAGTGAGGTTTTATGGATCATATTTTTTTGTTAACTTTTTACAAGCTTTAGTTTTGGTCGCCATGAAAAGCCTTAATAACTTCTGAATAAAAAAGTATGGAAATCATTGAAGACATTTTTAAAGATTCTTCTTTGGATGTCCCAAGCCCGTCACTGTTTAAAAGGCACCTGGACAATGTACTTAACATGCTTTAACTTTTGCCCCTCGCAGAAAGACTAGATGACTCTTGTAGGTCCCTTCCACCTGAACCATGCTGCGCTATTTTGCTTCGACAGGATCACATTTCTCTCCGTAACAATAGTCTAAGTAACTGGAACTCTTCCAAATGAATTAAACTACATGCAGTCATAAACATTTTTCTGCAAAGCAACTAAAATCTGTGGAGATCCCTGAAGTATTTTCTGACATCCACATGACAACTAAAGTTGGGACAGAGTGGTGCTCGAGTCTATTATTAACATACAGGGGAAACAATGCAAGATATAATACCTCCTGTATTTCATATATTGTCCAGTACTATTTCTGATATAGGCCTTAAGAGAAGACCAGCACAAGAAGTTTAAAACTAGTAAAGCCTACTACAGCCAACCAATACAGTTGCCAGAATAGACTAGGGCAGGGGACAGAATGAGAGAGAAAATTAAGGTGAGTAAGCTTAAATACAGAAGGAAGTGCCAGATTTACGGCTCAGGAATTCTGTTTTTCTTGTAGAGGAATAAGAAAGCAGCTGAGCTTCCCAAGCTGGGAATCCTGACCCTTACAGGAAGCTTTTACAAGGTTTTGTGGACTCTCTGGGGGAACAAAGAGTAGTGAAGCATGGTTATCAGCTCCTCCCCTGAAGTTCACAGAAAAACTTCACAACCACTTAAAGTAACATAGCATTGCTTGCAATTGTTCTGTGTTCAAAGCTGACATATAAGCAACCCTAAAATCAGCCTCACAACTGTCTTAAGAATGTGCTCTCTTGTATTCATCCAGTCCGTGCCTGAAGGTTCTTAATGCAACTAATCTCTTATGCAGTCCCACTGTCTCCACACCAATCTGTCATTTTATCCTCCTGCAGATAATAGTTGTTTTTTAAAAAAGTTTTTGACCAATTTCATCTACATTGGCAGAGGGGTAGAAATACAAAAATGTAATTGAGTTCCTCCAGATCTTTGAAAATGGATAAAAAAGACACAAATCAGAATCCCTTAATGAAAAAGAAACAGTATTAAGATAAAATGTGTGGCTAATCCACACATAGATAAATACACAGTCACCATAGCAAACATAGTCTATTCCAGTGTTAAGATATCATAAAACATGAGAAGAATGTGAGATTCTTTCAGGAGAGAATGGAACAGAAGAAACATGGGAGACTAAAGCTAGATGTAATGGAAACTGAGTTTTATTATTACCACTCTCAAGAAACATCCTGTGGGGTTTTTGTTTCTCTCCACTATGGTATTGGAACTATTTTCTTACCAATGTGCACTTCACTTTTTAAATATAACTAAAAGATAATTATATGAACTAATTCTCAATGAGATTCCCATAATTAAAACTGCAGGAACTGCAAAAATTCCCACATGAAATGCACTACAACATTTAAGCTTTTAAAAAACTGTACATTATTAATTTGTTTATATTTAATTAAAGCAAACTTCTCAGATACAGCAACTGGATTTGTAAGTGGGGATTTAAATTAATATGAAACTGTAAAAATGTGCATCAGTGCAAATACCTATTTTGCCAATACTTCACTTATCCACCCCATGTCTGTATTCTAAAATACTTACACTATTTCTCAAACAGCTGCAATACAACAGAGTTCCTTTTAATATAACTTAAGCAAAATAGCATTTTCCTAGTATAGTTACTAAAGCTCACTACAGATTACCTACCAAGGCTCTACCTAAACTAAAGGCAGGCAAAGCAAATATAATGCTGTAATACGGCTCCAAAATCAACATAGAGACATGAAGATAAAGAAAGAAAGCCAACAAAAGACCTACAAATGAAAAGCAGACAATAAAAGCCAAGAAACATTTAAGCAATTTAGCATCTGCACAACAGGTAGCAAAAGCACACCAATAAATTACCAAATTAAAATCTGAATGTATATGGAAACAATAAGCATTTCTGCATGCTGGAAATTTACCTGAATTATATGAATATAAGCCTTTATCTGGAAAACAAATATTGAAATGAAGTAGTGTCAGGGAAAAATACATGAATCAATACATGTAACAGGGATGTTTATAACCTTAAACTTCCATTATAATTGCTGCTCAAAACTGAAGAATTTGATATGGTAGGCCACATTGATCCAAAACAATAAAACTCAAGCAGCTAGAAGAAATTAAACCACAAAAATGCCAATCACTTCTACATCAACATTTATACTTAGTAGTCACAACAGACTACTGGAGATATTATAGTCATTTCCAATTCTGAAATAAAACTGCACATTTACTGTAAGCAAGAGTTTAACTTTCTAAGGGCAAAACGTATATTCAACTAGGCATATAATACAAGCTGCTATGCTAAAGTTACTGCACACTGCTATGGGCACCTCATCAGGAAGTTATTAGCAGAATTTTCCTGAGATGTAGCTACAAATCCTACTTTAAATTTAACAGACCCAGAAGTTATGTTCCAGACAATCCTCTGTCTCCAGCTAGGTCTTGATTTGGTAAATATGTACATACATGAATACCATATCTACATATCATTGTTACCAGTGAATTTAAGAGTCCTGTTGTGAGCACAATTAAATACTTGCAATACCTGATTTATTGTTTGCATTCCTTAAGTCTGGCTGGGTTATGCATTTTAGCTTTCTATGCAATCATACTAGTTTTTCTGAACTTGACAATATAATAGTATGCACATATCTGGACAACATTGGAAATGTGAATTGTTACTTTGTGTTTGCAGATTTTGTATAAGGGACTTCCATAAGATAGTATGAACAAGCCCAGAAGTCAGAATAGCATGAATAGTTACCTTGCTATTAGCAAGACATTACAAGTGTTTTTATTCCTTACAGTATTACAGACTGACAGTCCATGAGTAAAAGATGCATCTCAGGTGACAAGGTGTGACAGTGTTAGAGATAAAAGACTTTCAATTACTTGCCAGCTGATTCTGTGAAGAATTCACTGGGTGACTAGGTATCTCCTAGCCACACTTCTTCTGACATCCAGGTACTAACTACTTGAATATCTAGACCATATCACTAAATCATCTACTATTCACAACTTCTAACTGTTTATGTTTTCAAATTGGGTTTCTTAATAAACATAATTTTCATGCTTCAGCTCCATAATTCCATTAGGCTATACAATTTCAAAGAAAGAACAGGGTATTTTTTCATCATTTACAAACTTTTAGATGTGAGTTTTACTGCATAACTTCTCTAATATTTGTATTCCTTGGTATTAATCTCTTCCAGTTACAAATTTCATGCAAAACTGACTCTTCTTTGGGTAAAAAATTATGAAAAATGGAATGTGAGCAAGTTTTCCAGTTTACTCCAGCAACATCAGAAAGCCACAAAAATCCATTAACACAGTCTAGAAATTGATTACAGAATTAAAAATTATGGACTTTCTGAATTTAACTTCTGGAAAGATCTGTAAAAGTGTAGAGCTTCATGAAGAGCACAAAAATATAAAAATACTGCAATTATAATGGGAGTGTGGACTAAGGAAGCCCATGTTTGTTTCTGTATGGTTACAACACAGGAAAGTCAGAAAAGTTCTAAACCTATCTGAAAACTTCATCAGAAGCATCACACTGCTATATGAGAATTCATTATGCCTCAACAACAACAAAAAAATACTAATACACACTACCTTTAGCTAGAAAAGGAAGCTACTATATGGACCTACGAATTTTAGAATCATTTTGAGGGACACCTAACTTGTTATTTATCAACTGCCTAGCAAGGTTGCTTTACCCTATCTGCCAAGTTATTTCAGCAAAGAACACTACTTTTCTTTTATCATTATATGACAGAAGAGTAATTTAGTAACATAATTCTATCAAGTAACCACAGCAACAATGTTATAATCAAATTCCCTTAAACTGCTTCAAAACAGGTTTTGAAGTATTTTTGTAGTTTAATTAAAATTGTTTAAACTTTTTGAAAATTTTCAAACAGCAGAGAATTAATACCTTAAATAGGTTTGTTTTATTAGGCAAAAAAAATACTTTGATAGTTTAAGGCCTTTTCAGACACCCCTGTATCATGTTAAATACCTTTTAATTAAAGTATTTATTTAAACCATAGATGCACTGTAAATATTAGAAATAAATCAGAGGTGTATAATAAGTATAGTACTGGTGTATATATCCATATTCTGTGAACAAAAGAGCTATGCATGCAATCAAAGACAATGCCCAATGCCTGTGCTCCATAAAAGAAAGAGAAAAATTAAGAAAGAAGCATGAAAGAGAAAAAAATAAGTGTTATTTTTGCTCTCTAGCATAGAATTCTTACAATACATTCATCATTCACGGTCTGTGTCACTGACCATAAAATGCTCCATATTATAATTTGAAAAGAGTCATTGATGAATGTTTCCGTTACCTACTAGTGAACAGCATAATTCCCTCAAGTAAAATTCACTGACACTGATTTAAAATCATCCTACTGACTTACCAGAGTCCAAACAAATTAAAGGAAATTGCTGAGACAGTAAGATCCTGATTCTGCAGTAAAATGAGACTCCACAGAGTTACAAGGAAGTCAATTGCTTTCATTGGACAACTGGGGTTTCAAATGCAGGGCTCAGATTTCACAGGGTAAATTTTCAGATACATTGTATCATTGTAGTTAATGATTTCTGGTAATGATTTTTAGATTGGATATAAGGAGGAAGTTCTTTACTGTGAGGGTAGTGAGGCACTGGAATGGGTTGCCCAAGGAAGCTGCGAATGCTCCACCCCTGGAAGTGATCAAGGCCAGGCTGGACAAAGCCTTGTTTGACATGGTTTAGTGTGAGGTGTCCCTGCCCATGGCAGGGGAGTTGGAACTAGATGGACTTAAGGTCCTTTCTAACCCTAACTATTCTATGATTCTATGATTCTATGTACTACCAAATATATTTCTTAAATGCTTTATAATGCAGACTTGAAAATTTTAACATTTAAATAATAGAAGAGAGGGCCTGAATTAGCAGTTATAATATTCAACTCAACTGTGATTTGATGGTACAGCGATGGAACTTTCTAGTCAGATGTAATAATGTTTAGCATTTCCCCAGAAAAAGTAGTTCTGACTTGGAAAATTGTACAAAGCTGACAAGCCAGGTGACAAAAACTATTTATATGATGCAAACACTTTGCTTATGCATTATAGAATATTTGATTCCCATCTGAATGAATAAAATTTAAAAAAGGAACATTATCTGTAGTTTTTTGCACAGTATCCACACATTATTTTGTAGAACACTATTCTTAATTTTTCATCCCCACAATTTAAATAACCATTACTGTAATTTTTCTTCTTCCAAATTTTTTATATGCCTTAAGAATTATGAAACTTAGTGAATGGATCAATCAATGATGTTAATTCTAAAAGTAATAAAATTCGAGCACCCTTTAAAAGAAAGCTACTTCACAGACCATTTATTTGCCATTATTTTGATCCTGACTGATTTTTCTGGTGTTCAGTTCTTGAAAAAAACACAATTTGATTCATCATTTAGGACAGTTCTATATGTCGATTTCTAAACACTGTAATTTCTAAAATCTCTTAGACCTTGTTTTCAGCAGTTGATCCCACACAGATTTACTAGTTATCCCTTACTGAGGATGCTCAAATTATAAAACTTCCCTTTGGTTTTTCAAACCATATTGTACATTCGCAAGGCAATTAAAAGCTCTCCTTCCACTGCTGTACATACCTATGCTGTAGCTAGAGATCTGAAAATGTCTGTTTCTACTGTTATAGTCACATTTCTTCCCTTGTTTGGGCACTTAGCTGTTGTCTGCACTGTACGCTCTCTGTGGTATGCAGATCAGTAATTTAGACAGCTGGGTTTTAAAGTTGAAAAATCTTAGAAAACTAGCATCAGTTACTTTTAGTCCTAAATAATCAGGAAATTCTTATAACATTTGAAGTAAAACAAAAATCTGCTTCTGAACCATATTCAGAGTCAGTATAAAACTAAAACCAATAGTTCTCCTTTAAAATACATTATATCCCAGTATTCTTTGTCAGCTAAACAGTATCACCTCAAACTACACTCTGCACACATTACATGAACATAACTGTAAAAGATTGAATGTCTCAGAACCAATTTGATGTCTGTTATCTCTATATTCTGGGTTACATGGAAATATTTTTTGCTCTGTAATCCCATAGTATAAAGCCTACTTGATTTCTGTAGCACTTCTCAGTAAATAGTAATACTAACAATTTGCATCCCATTCAGCCTTACAAATATGAACAAAACATTAAAGCGACATTCAGTTTTCAATGCAACCTGTAGTAAGCCTCTTACGTAATGTGAGATGGACCAATAATACTGTGGCCTAACCAGCAACAGGAATTCCCAAATATTCTTTTAAATAATCTTTACTTTTCTGTTTACAATCTCCTTTCAGAAGCAATATAAAAAGAAGTTCATTTTGTCTGTAATTCTAGTTAATGCTGCCTGCAGTTCTTAAGGTATGGCTGATTTTATGTCAAACTTTAGAGAAAATGAAGTAATTTTAAAAATTCACTTCAGAAGTTCAACACAATAAGTAAAATAGACGTACTCAGTACCTCACATTTCACATAAGAAAAAGTTTAAAATATACTCATTGGATAAGAAACAGTTTATGAAAATCTGGAGTATAATTAGCTGAACGACCTAGGAACCCATAACTTTATGTCCTGTATTAGTTTCAGTTTCTAGGTAGATTTATTTAAAAAAATATAAAGAAAACGCATCATTAGGAAGTTAATGGATTGTATGGATCAGAGGACTGGGCACGAGAAGGTGGACAGCTGGTTTAGATCAGTCTGTACCACAACATAATACCTACTCAAAGTTATTGAGAGATAAATATATGTAGAAACTAAGCTACCGTCTCTGAAAGCTAGTTCATAAAAAATGGCATATGGGGCTCTGTGGGAAGCTTGCACTTTGCTACTGGCAATCTGTAAATACAGGAATTCAGTCCTCAGAGCTGACAGCCTGCTCTTCCTCAGGAACAGTACAATTCAGTGATGTTAAAAAGAGAAGTAAGTAGTAAGTGTAGGTGGTTCTTTTAAACTGCCTTTAGAGAATAACACGTAAGTATTGTCTTCAATATTTATAGCTACTTCACAATCATGAGGATAAGAAAGCTTAGATGTGTAGATATGTATCTATACAAACAACAAACAACCTTGTAATTCAAAATCTCTCATTATTTCTTAAAGTAGCAAAATTTTTTGGGGCATGCAATAAAGTACTTCATCTTGCAATCACTATCTATACATAGAAGTAGCACAAAAATGAACAAAAAGTGGGAGGACTGAAGGGCTCAGGTTTTGCAGCCCCAGAAACTGAAATCAGCCTACTGTGTAACAGCAGATTATGTGCTACAAGATGTGCTTTGAAAAAGATAGACAAACTTGCTAGACACGTTTTCTCTTCATTCTGGAGAACTTTTCCACATTGTTATAATATGCCACTGGGTAGCACATGTTTCATATATAAGAGTTATTACTGAAGGACACAAAAAAAGCTTCAGACACAAAACCCCAAGATACTGAGTTTAACTTGACATTCTTTTGAAACCTCAAAAAAAACCTAAAAGAACCAGACTTCTATATGCTATTAATATATTATAAATATTTTACTTAGTGAAGGTAGTCATACGATGTGATATCCACATTTCAGCAGTCCTCTGGACATTTAGGGTGGGAAGAGCTTTTTGGAGGTCATCTGGTGCCACACCCGTTTCAGCCTTGGCCAACTTTTTCAAGACCAGGTTGGACAAAGCCTTGGTTGAGATGGTTTAGTGTGAGGTGTCCCTGCCCACAGCAGGGGGGTTGGAACTAGATGATCTTAAGGTCCTTTCCAACCCTAACTATTCTACGATTCTATGATTCTATGAACTTATTGCTTATGGCCTTGTACAGTGGAGTTCTGTGTATTTCCAATAGGATATTCCACCACTTCTCTGAACACCAAGAAATACTTTTATTTCCATTTCAGAGGTGCGACACTAATGTTAAAATCATTTTATCTTTTAACTGCTAAATGATTCTGCTGCCTTTCCAGAACTCTGACCAGATTCTACGTTTCCATTTGGATGTCTCTCCAGTGCCCAGAAAGGAGGGATTTTCATTTCAAGAGACCTTGTTCTGCACATGTAAAAGTATCTGTATGTATTTATGACACACAAGGATTTGAGAAGTGCACATATTAGCAGGACACTAGAGAAAATCCTTCTTTAGGGGATCCCAATCTCAGTATAAATGCAAATAGCATAATTTATTGTAGGAGTATGTGAATTCTCCAGCAACAATAGTGAACTTCTGACATTCCTTATTTGGCTGAAATGTTTAGAACCACAAGTTGTTGAAGACCGCTCTGGGAACAGCCAAGCTAAATCATCGTCACTGAAAAGCAGAACTTCTTTTTAATAAACATGGTGAAACACTAAAATGTCCTTCCCTCTACATTTCCAGACAGGCATTTAAGATTGTTCAGTTGAACGCATTCAGTATTAACATTAGTGTTAGTATTTAAAAAACTTTCAAATTTTGAGTCAATATCATTAAAAAGGTCTTTAGTCAAATTTTACCACAATCCTTTCCAAATAAAGCAGTTACGCTTTAATTCATTCTTCATAGAAGTTATTTATTACATAGGCAGGAATTATTATCGCAGGACTGAATATTTCCTGAAAACCAGAAGTTCACTAACTTCACATACAAACAGATACTGAAATGTCTAGCTGGTCTACAAAGTAATTTTACATGGAAAATTCAACTTCCTAAAATGTGTTTCAAGGTGGCCAAAAAGATAGAAGAAAAATAATTTTAAAACTTTACTTGAGCAACAGTCATGGTACTTGAGATGACTGAAGAGAACTGAACTGAAACAGAACTTTTACCTATTAACTATCATTTCTTTCCTTCTTTTGTGAATAAGTATTATCTTACAGCTTGAAGGCTATGCACTGTAACTCTCTGTTAATGTATCCATCTCAAAATATTATGATATGGAGCATTTTAATACTTCTCACCATCCAGTGCACAGACACAAAACCTGTCAACTACATGAAATACTTACTTACATACAAGGTATTATTTCATAAGAGTCCACATAGAACATATGAAATATCCAAGCTTGTTTGCATGGCTGCACATGCATATATTTCTGTGAGTTTGTGTGTAATATACACACAAGCAAACTCATATACAATGACTCAAAAAAAAACTAAGAATTCTTAGAAATATGTTTTGGTTTGTTGTTTTTTTCTCTTTTTTATTTCTTTAATATCAGTGTCAACTGATATTTTATATTGTTAATTCAGTGAAGGATAGCTTTCAATCATTGACAATACTGAACAGTTAAACAAGAGAAACAAAGTTAAACTAGAGAAACAAGTATTAAGGAAACAGATCTCTACTTTTTACTATTTCATTTTTATGCATCTATTTTTATAAGCATATTATATATACTCTATTTTCAAATTATCTACTGATAACACCAAACTACTGTGGAGCAAGTATACCAGACTCTAAAAGAAGAAAATGCCATTAAAAGTAATTCCATTTGTGAACGTTACCATGTAAAATAAAATCAAAACAAGGCAACAGGCCATAGTATTAATTTAGTCACAAATTATGATAAATACAGGTCACTTATTCTTAAGAAGTATGAGAAAATTCCTGCACATTCAAACAATGAAATTATAAACACAGTATAGAAGAGAGGACTTCAAGATAAAAACAGCGCATTGCAAAACACCAAGATAATTTGCTCAAGCTCGGGAACTGAACTGGGGAGTCTCATTAAAAAAAACACAACAAAACAAATTTGGTGTATTGCACAGTGTTCAATATTGCCATTTGTAGCATTGTCAGACTATCAGTAATCATAAATGAACTAATTCATACCAGCTACAAACAAACATACAAATTCTGACAGCTTCCCATCTACAAGAATTTAATATACTTTGCATATTAATTCAAAGGAACTACACACAGTGAGTAAAACTAGCAACCTACTTTGTAACCTCCTTGTGGGACTTTCTCCATGGAGCTGTCTGCGTGGCAAATATGGTGAGGGATGGGGAAGTGGCAATGAAGAGACATCATGTGTCTGGAGTTTGTACCAGTGAGGTTCATCATCTAGTAGTGCTGTCTCTAACTCAATAAGAATCTAAAAAAGAAAAAAAAAGGTTAAAAGTAGGAAAGCATTACATAACAGAATATTTTACATAGCTATTTTAAAATACAGCTATTTAAAGAAAAGCTGTGTTCATAACTTTTATTCTATTACTTGCTCATTGCTAAGGACTTTGTCTGAATTTTCATAAAACTCTTCCATTTAACATGAAAGAAGTTCCTGTGACTTTTACAACCCTAAATGTACCAAAAATCTTTCACAAAACCTTCATTACCTTATGACAATCTTTACAGCATTCAAATATCTTGCAGCAAGTAAGGCACTAATATTGCAATATTTTGGTAAAATACAGCTGGGGATAATAGGGATTTTTAAAAAACAATTCTAAAAGAAATTAAAAAACCATGTGCATGCTGTTACTGAAACAGAAGAAATAAAGAATTTCAGTACTATGTGATAAGAGCAAGATCACCATTTTCTTACTACTAAGTGAAATAAGGACAAATATTCAACAATTTAAACCAGTTTTGCTTTGCCATGTATAATCATTTTTGCAAAATTACTGTATCTAGACATGAATATGTGAGCAACCGTGTTTCTATAACTTGGAGTAATTGTATACCTCTCCTAAAAATTCACTCTCTTCCTCTCGAACTCGTGCTTGGTCCCAAAGAGTAATTTCTAACATTCGTTCTCTAAACTCTCTCCGATGAACTGGAGAATAAATGAATGTCTGATTCCACTTAGGTTCCAATGTTTTCTTTACTGTTTTTGTTCTTCTTTTATTTTTATCACTGAAAAGAAAAAACAATTAAAGATTAAAAATGTTCAAAAGGCCATTCTATTGTAATAAGCACATCATGGAAAATAGGAAATATTAAATCAGCAGTACATTTTGTAGTATTACGGACACTGTAATCCTTTATTATAAAATAAAATTCAGCACGTATATTGAGAACAATTTATAACTTCATATTAAAAAAATAATGTTGATTTCCAGTTCATGTGCTAATTCTAATTTTCAGAAGTTTCCTGAAAACCAGAAAAGCTTTAATATGTTTGTTATGAAGCCAGCATCTTATAAAGCAATATATATATATAGCAGTTGGACTTGATAATCTTAAAGGTCTTCTCCAACCTAGATGATTTTATGATTCTGTAAATGGGATTTCCATGAGGCACAGTCTGACAGCAGAACATGTAAGCAGACAACATTGGGTATAATCAAAATCCGCATTTCAGATAAGCTAGCCAGCTGGTTCACTCAGACTTCCAGTCGTACATTGGCTGACTCAAACTGGAGAGCAGGAGGGAGCAGCTGGCCCACGTGAAGGAATGGTCAGGGAGCTGCAGGCAGAGTGGGGCTTCCCCATAGGGTTTTCCTGAGCGATGGCTCCACCGCTGGGAAACCAGAAGCCCTGAGAATGAGTCATAGGTTTTATTCCAGCAAGACTGGAAGCAACAGTGTTCTCAAAACAGTTCCCAAAATCCTTTGGGTCACCCCAAAGAGCCACACAGGTTGAAGCTGCCTTTCTCTTACAAGGTTGGCGTTATGTTGTGGAGCCTGGTAAGGTCTCCATACAAGGCTACCATGGAACTCCTGGCTCTGGCTCCACAGTGTTGTTGAAAGCAATGTGTTTTGCAGAATATTTCTGCTTGAAAGAATTAATATTTTCTGATGGAGACAAGTTTCACTGGAAAACACCCACGCTCCTTCTACTGAGAATACTGATGACAAGAGTTCTTACAACAATGCTTAATTTTAAACCTGCGGATTGCTGCATACTGCAGCTGCATACTAATTTATGTGAATTTTTTAATACAGCAATGCAGATACTCTCTGTTTACAAACACTCGCAAGTGTAATGGAGTTATTTCATTCCTGAACTGCTACTTAGAAGCTGGATGAAAGTATTAACTAAGAAATAATATTTTCAGACACATAATTTAAACAAATAATGTAATTATTTCTATTATACTAAAGATTTGTTTGCCCTTGAGAACTGAAATAAGTTACATTGGACAAGCTTTTCTAATGATTTTTTTTTAATCAAAGAGAGCTCAGTATCTTCATCTAATTAAACGCTTGACTTATTTAAGTGCATTTTACCTCTGGCACGTTTCCTTCTACTACAGAAGAAATATGTTGTTGCTTACTTTGCTTTAACCTCTAAGAAAAAGAAAGTGAATTTATATGTCAAAAAAAAACAAAACAAACCATAAGAGGTCCATAAGACAAATTGCTGATTCTTACATAAGTGATAGAAAACACATGCAACAATTAAAGAAAAATTTCCTAATACCTCACATAAATGGGAAACACTAGTATAGCTTAATAAAATTTACTGTTATGTAACTTTTCCTATCTGTATACTTGAATTATGTAAATATTTTTCTTCTATGTATTTTTAGTTATTACAGCTTTCATTGTGAAACATTCTGAATGCAGACATTTTTGGTAGCTTTATTAATGTTGAAAAAGCAGATAAGATTATTTAAGCAGACCTAGTTCTCAGTTTAGCACAGCTTCAACATCTCCAAACACACTGCAGCAATCTGAATAGCTAAGAAACTAGTCAAATAGTTCAAATATTGGTGAGCCCAAGACAATCCATCTAAAATCTTTTTGTCATCAATGATATAGCAAATTATACAGTCACAGCAAATTTTCTTGTCAACCTTTGGTAAACAAAGAAAATGGAAACGCAGTGTCTTCCAAAGTCCTGGATAGCTTTGTTTCCTGCTGAAGTCAACTAGTACTGGACATAGTTAGCATCTTCCTAGTTTAGCTATTAGGAAAAGCAAATGATGTAAAAATATAAACTGTAAAGTTACATCGATCTTTTATATACTGAGTCAGGTTAAATCTTTGAATGCTTGATATGCTACAAAATAATGCTAAACATGTTCCCTTACTGACACAATCTCTGGAAATGCCAATTTAAAAAAAAAATTAAAAAAATATGTGCAACACGTCATTTCCTTTGCTGTTCTTCTCAGTGCCTATGTTGAAATGGCTGAAAATCATGGACTAAAAAATGAAGGGACTATTCAGGAAAAAGGGTCCCTACCACAGTTCCATAGTTTGATTTTCCCTAAATGCAGATATATAATGCCAGTCCAGATTAATATCAGTCCTGTGCTTTATGGGAAGTTTTCAAGGTGCATCTGGGAAATCTCGGCTGAGTCACCTATCCTGTGATATGAAATCTATGGGTTTCAGCTGCCAAACCTGTTCCTACTTTGTTGTGTAAACACAGGGCAACCCAGACTGCTGGACTCATCAGTTCAGAAATGTGTGAACCTAACTTCGTAGCATTTTGTTTGCACTAAGCAGGAATAACTGCCAGAGGAAATAAGGATATTATAAGAAACTAATAACATTCTTTGCAAATAACAGATCCCCATGCAATGACATAGATTTACCTTTCCTTTCCTATTCAGTATTGAATAAAATCTCCAGTGAAAGTGAATATACATTTAGTGTTCAAAGACATACTGCTGTTACTAGCATGTTCAATAAACCAATTCCAAACTGTAAGATTTTTCCATATATATATATATATATATATAAAATCAGCTCTGCATGCCATCTGAGTATCAGACTAATTCTTTCCCAAATGCTTCTTGTCTTTGTGTTCACTCTACCTTCTGTCTGGAAGAAAGTAAATTTTAACATAAGGATTCCTTGGCCTCCCATCTTCCCTTGAAGGAAGATCCTTTGCTCCCAGTATCGTCACTATTAACTGATGACCAACCTTGTCATACCACAGTTTTATCTGTAATGAGAAAATATGAATTAATGAACTAATTTCAACAACAAATTATCATATTAATCCTTAAAATCAATTTTGCTCATAAGCTTCTATTTATATTGGTTACTTACACAGAAAAGATCATGTTCTACTTTGTATTTATAATAAACCATACAAATAAATTAATACTATAGTAGCTTCAGTATGTACCAGGAGTCACTATTTAAAAAAAAAACCCTGTACAATAAGTACATTATTTCATACTGTTTTTCACAATGGTTAGGATTATTCTCTCTTGGCATGATACTGTACTACCTGCTTTACTGATATATGATATTCATATATATAAATTTCTAAGAAGTTTATGCACAATGAGTGAATTAATTTTTCACGTCCTGTTGTGCTGGAAAGACTATGGGATAAGACCATAAATATTTCAAAACTCTAAACATTTTTCAAGATGCAAAGATTCATCCTGAAATTATAGAAGGCCTCCAGAAATTGTAAGAGAGCAAGGCCCAGAAGCCCAACACTCTTCACAGTCCAACTCAGCAACAACAAGGCAAAACCTACTCTTACTCATCTGTAGAAATTATTAAGTATTAGACATGGTCTGCTATCCTGTTTAACTAGCTGCTATTTAGCTATTTCAGTTTGAATACTATAGCTGCAAATACATTATTCAAGGAGAAGATATATCTATTTTAGAGCATGGAAGGGAGACATGGTGCAGTTAGGACCAAGGCTTTCCAAATAGCAAGGGAGTCACTACATAGTAGTGCCAATGTAGTATTAGTAACTACGGCTGACAGGGGAAGTTCTCTTCATGAGGAGCTTTCCATGGCACAGGACAAATTAAGACATTTAGAGGAAACACTGTTCTTGACTGAACTTACAGGGATCAAAGAGGATAACAGCCAACTACATGACCAAGCAAAAAGTGCACTTTTAGGCATGAATACGCCGTGGCTAAGGTAAACAAAGCCAGGGGACAGTGCCCATCTTGCATCACTTCAGAGACAGGGTCTCCATCTGCTGTCATAGCTCTTCACCTTCAGCCTTTCAGTCACTAAATGAAAGGTCTTGACACAATTCTCAAGACTGTTGACCCACCAAGAGCCTGATTTCCCTAATACTTCAGTAAGTGAGATTACACTGACACACCAACTCAACCAATGGTGGCACTTCTTCCTTCTGCATTACTACAGATCTTGCAACTCCTGTAGCCATCAGCCAGCAGTGTTTGAGTAGATACTAAAAAGGGGAGGATACCTGTTCTCTATTTTCCTGTCATTGACCCTACTGTTGATTTTACAAGTTTCTGGTACCAATAGGTAAAGGGCTCTAAAGCAGAAAACTGTGTGAGAGAAATTACCTTTGATAAGACTTAAGAGAGTTCTAGATGCTGTTCCTACATTCCTGCAAAGCAAGGGGCTTTGTCAGTATTTTTTCTACACTGAGAATTTATCTGGACTACTAGGTATCTTCATCCAGCCACAGATCACAAGTAGCAAGCTTGGCACCAACTGTGTAAATCCAAAGCAAAGTTTTAATGATCTCTGAAATGAAAGTCAACATAAGTGTTCTCTAACACTAAATGCACTCTGACACTAAAGGAAGCTCCCAGGGTTCCTTGGGAGTCCTTTGGCAAAGGACAGTCTTGGCTAATCAGACACTGCAGGGGTAGTAGCACTAAAGACAATATTCATCTGCTTTTTAGGAAAAATTATCCTTGCTTAAGCAGAATGCAACATATATGTGATCCAGATACTATTACGAACTATTACTAAGTGAAGATGAGATAATCAAGACATGGATGCCAAAAATATAACCAGAAATATGCATTCATATCCAAGCTAAGTATTTCTTCACTATATTTGTTTGAGACTGAATTTTGGCAGGAAAACTTCAGTAAAAATGTTTGAGAATTACTCTAAGCAAAAGGTTAAATCATCTGACACCATTTCTTTGAGATGCTCTAACACCTGTGGTTTAGAACAGGAACTCAAATTCGTGATGACTTACACCTTCTACTTTCTCTTGGAACTGTGAGAAAAAAAAAGAAAAAAAAGGAAAAACTTGAAAAACTTGTACATAATGCACGTATTTTCTCTGTAATTCAGCTTGTTACAGGATAGGTCAGGAGGCAGAATCATGAGCAGAAGGTCAATTCTCTTGGGGGTTCACACTGCTAGCACTCCAATATATACAGCACATGCAATTGTAATGCCAGAATTCATTTGACTTGGATGCAAAGAGAAGAAAGGAAGAGACTGAAAGTGAGAGAATGGACAAAGAACCCCATGGAGGGGAAGGATTGGATTACATTCTCATGGGGTCAGAAGAAAGAAGGGGGAGGATGGGATTGCATTCTCATGGGGTCAGAAGAAGAGAGAAGGGACAAATCAGATACTCCTTTAGAATTATTGGAAAAGTAATGGATACAGGATGCTTCTTGGTCAAACACTGGAAGAACAGAGCCACTAAAGTCAGGCACCACAGGAGGACAGAGGGGAAAAAACAGACTGAATGAGAAATGGAATGAGGTGACAAAAGAAACAGCCATTCTGTAACTGGTACAAAATAACATTGCACAGAGAGATTAGGATGAAATAAAATCTGACAAGAAGTCAAGGTGGAAAATTGGAGAGAAAATGAGAAACAAGGCTCTTAACTAGCATACTGAACATGGAAAATGAGTTTGGGAATAGGACTGATCTAATTCTGACTCTCCTGTGTACAAGTACCATGACAATATTCAGATGGTGTTGCATTTTCCTACAAGAACCTTTTCTATTCACAGGGAAATAAAAAGGCCAGCCATTAAGACAGCCAGGTGCAGTCCAAGAGAACTAGATTCCATCCTTTCCCCTTTCCCAGAGGCCTTGTGTATCAAGGCGTAGATCCCTTGAAACTTTTTTAAAAGTATTTACAAATTGCATGTTCTTCATTTTCTGGGAGTCTGGCACAAGACCCTGGAGCCTGATTTGTAGTGCTAAGTAAAGTATTGGAATTGAAGTCTGTGGTGTGTATTATGCCTGGACATAACCTGGTTGTCTCAGACTCTGATCACAGTTTCTCAATTCTTAATCAATAAATGCAGTACAATCCTACCACACTTACAGAATACTATACATATTCTACATGTGAAATAAATATGGGGTAGCACATGTATAACTGAAAAGTTGATGAGGAAGTTATTTTTTTCTTTTATAGCTTTCTTGAGTTGTATGAGAAATGATTCCTAACATCAAAAAGTGAACACTGAATTATTCAATCCATAGAGTGTAAGTTCCACGAGAATGTACAGATATGATGCTCAACATTGAAAGACTTAAGCAGCTGCCTAACAGCAGTATTTACAAACTCTCCATTCAGCGGGTTTTTTACACATGCAGGAATTGGCACTTTTAAAGTCTTTACAATACCTAAGAAACTGTGATGATCAGTCCTGATCTAAATGAAGGAAAGGGAAAGCGATAATTTCAACACTTAAAACACACCACAGAAAAACCATGCTAGTTGTTGATAATGTGGAAACTGATACCTGTAAAAACATTCTTGAACAGGACTTTGTCTACCTAGGTAGACTTAGGATGTAGAAACCTAGAATTCACATAAGAAGTGATCCTGAATGGTTTCTTTTCACTTAGTGTTGAAGTCCTGGAAACGCAATTGCTACACATACATACTTTCCTTCCCTAGCCAGATGTGAACATAATTCTTGACTAAATTTCTGTTGTAACCTACATTCAGGCAAACGGGCATCTAAATTTAGCATATCGTGACACTGTGAGATGGTCTTCTACCTGCAAAGTGGTGCAACTGTTGCACTCCTTGAGACAGGTTTCCAGGTAAGAATACCTGCCATATAGAGAGCAAGACCAAAGAGATCTTCTGCAGTCCGGTGATGAGGGTAGTCATCAGGGGGGAAAGAGATGAGGGTCTGGTCACAGCTTCATAGGTTTCCTTCAGTTTTTAAACAAGAGTGGTCAAATGCAAGATCAATATATATTCTACGTAACAGGTCCGCAATCTGCTACACCAAAATTAAGCCTTCTTTGCTATCACCTCACACACATATTCCTAGCCACACAGTATTTCAGCTTCAAATGAGAATTCATACTCCAGAAAAGAAAGGGATGTGCAACAGCTTGATTATAAAGGCACTTTTCTGAGAGACTGGTTCAAATTCTTCAGTCTAAATAGGGCTTAAACCACAAATGTCTTTTTCCTGGAATGAGCCTCTTACACATAGAAAGGTATATAAAAGCTGACTGCTGGTGTTGCATTCTGAGAAATGAGGATACAAGTGTCTAGTATCCCTGTTTGGTCCTCAGAAAAGGACTGTCCCTCTGGAGAGCCAACTAACCCTGTGGAGTAGCCTACGTTTCCAATGGAGTTAATGGGGTGTCCTTTATTTGGGCTGGATCACTCACTACAGATATTGAGGTACTTAGTTCTTCCCTTCAACTATACAAGTCTAAGCTCCTCCCCAAGGCACCTCAGACTTATTTTAAGCTAACATAAATTATATGAATTAAGGATATAATTTCAGCTCACTAGATTTCATTCTTTTTCTTTTAGATCTCATCTTAACAAGAAATTTTAGTCAAAGACCTGATTGAGGTCAGAGTTCTAGAAAAGAAGTAACCCATACTCTAATACATATTCATAAGCAAAATCAGTTAAGAAAATCTAGATAATAAAATTGATACTTGCTATATTCTTATCTCATGAATACTTGACTGCTTAACTATGCAATCCTAACGTTTTTGCACATAAAGGCACACCATAACTGAAGTGATAACTTAAGATTTAAAAACAGAATATTTGAACATTATAATTCTATCCTACATTTTACTCTTTATTTGTTGTAAGAGATAAAACTTGTGCCACTGGGAGAGACTGCTTGGCCTGCAGTCTGATTTTTACCACCACAGCTTATCCAAACTTCACTTGGTTTGAAAGACAGCTAGCCAGGTATTTTTGTTCTTCTGTTGTTCGTTATAATTTTTCAAGTGACCTACATAGCTGTTTATTAGTGCAGTATTTTGAAACTGAGATACTACTTTTCTTTCTTGCATTTTTCTGGACCTGAACAGGATACATTGCATCAGATCAGCAGGATCTGTTGTTGAAATTATTATCTCATATGATTCTAAGAAATGCTTACATCAATTATTTTATTTGGATTTAAGTTAATGTAGATGCAGACACTGCCCTGAGATGGTAAAGTCTTGGGTGTAGCGGAGGTGAGCTTTGGATGTTGTTAAACATACCTTTAACACATTCTGACTACTGAAGGTTGTTAAACCAAACTATCATTGCTGTCTGCTTCAGTTGCTGTCTTATATGTTGGAAAAAAATACAAAAAAAGGCTGTCAAATTGTAGAGCCTCAAGGATATGAAGGCCAGAAAACTAGGCTGCCCTAATCTAGATTTCTTTTGAAAATTTCTGGTTTAGTGGCTTCTTCATTTCAGTAATGCCAAGTAGATGCATGCATATATTTTTATACATAATCAAATATATTGTTGTTTTGTATTAAAGCAAAAAGAATGTCTGAAATTTTTGAAGTCGGAAAAAAATGCAGTGGTTTCATGGCAAATCTGGCTCAAAAGGAGGCCACACCAAGTAAACAAAAGAGACTTCATGGAAAACACAAATTTAAGAACATCTCATTCTCTACAAAGATATCACAAAACCTTGCGCTCTGAATTAGAAAATTGCTGGTATGCTAAACTGAATCCAAAAGTTCAGGAAATAAATTCACACTTTCCCAAGCACTGCAGAATTAGTAAAAGTTCAGGAGAAGGGTGCATGGCAGGGGAAAAGGAAATTGAGTGGGTTTCTTCCCAATAAATGTATTTCAAGTTATCCAGTGATACAAGAGCTAGAAAATGAATGGAATGACATCGAGCGAAGTGTGGAAGAGGAACTTGTGCCAGAATGTGGGACATTTATCACCAGGATCAGTTTCAGACTAACAAGTAAAGAAGATACAAGCACGACTACAGATGTGCATTTCCTGTTGAGAGCAATGAAACAAAAAGGTATAAACGGTGTTCAGGGATCCTCATTCTTGTAGAGAATTCTACAGATGCAGCTATACCACAGCCCACAATGTAATGTATACTTCCTGATAACCAGAAACAACAGCTCAGAGCTCTGAGTTAGCTAATTTTCCGTGCCAAGAAGTAACCAGAGTTCTGCACAGCTGTTGCACTACTTCAAATACCCTTGTTCAAAAATCACTGGAGAATCTGTTCTCTGCAGCCTGCACTGTAAACATATCTTAAATTAATCCATTTTTAACTACCAACCATCCCTACTAAAAGTGAGCAGATGTTGGACTTTTTGTTTCAGTCTTGCTGTTAAGGATGCTGCCAAGCTCCTAAATTTGAGCTCTTCTGGAACTCCTGTCACAAACTTTATGTTTATCTTTGACCATTATGGAACTCTGCAAAAACCTATCAGAGAGGTCCACAATGACTCCACAGGCATTGTGCAGAAACAAAACTGGGGCTAAAGACAATTTGTATCTACAGCACCAAAAATAATCCAGCCAGAGGTGAGAGAACAAGCCTCATACACTTTCACCTCTTGGCGGATATTCCCTATCAAATATTAAACTTGGTTTATTTCCTTAAATGACTACCATAATCATTTGATCAAAGTAATTTTATTTTTTTAAATTATAGGATAATAGCTTAAGCAGAAGTGAGTTTTTTTATGTCTATTTCTTTATTTTATATAATGTGATTAAAAAAAGGAACTGCTACATATTAATTCTACATTATGGTATTTCATGAAACATTCAGGTTTCAGGCAGACATTTCCTTTTTAAATTGAACAATTAATTTTCATATAAATTCTTAATTTATTTTGCACATATCTAAAAATAAATTAGATATTAAAAGACTACTTATGGTATTTACCTTTATGAACTACTTAGCAACTTGTGATTGAATTCATATCCCTCTTTCATTTCATTACCATTTACAAAAGCCAAATTTCTTAATCATGCTAAAGGATGTTTTAAATTTTTAATACAAAGCCAATTTATGTCAGTAGCACAAAGTAAGACATTAACTAAAACAATACTACCAAGACATGACCTTTTTAACCTCAATCTTTTTCTTAGAATGTTTTATTTTTAATTTACATTTAAGCAGGAAGGGTTACTTTCAGGAAATAATATATTGTAAAAAAAAATATACTTTATCAAATATGAGTCATAACTAAACCACTTTCCACAGTCTTATTTAGAATTCCTTTATAAATATATATATGATCTCCTTTTCCATTTTGATATGAAATTTAGTCATCTCATTCTGATCATTTAGCTCATCCTTTACATCTTCCTTGAGCAAGTCATCAGACAAGAGAAACATTTATACAGCTCCCACACAAAAGATTAACATCTCCATAAAGGCATTTTGAAAGAAAAGCAGATAATATTCTATTTACAAAAAAAAGGAAAACATGCAGTAAAGCAAGATAAGCATTGTAACATATTAGTAAAACCTACTTTAGCATTAATCTACAGTACCTTAGGAGTTTCCCAATGAAAAAAGGCAAACAACTTGTACCTAAGAAGAATACCAAAGCTAAACAAATTCAGTAACATAATGAGAGAATTTTTTATTGTTTAGTAAAGTTTTTATTATTTTGATCTAACTTTAGTAAATGCAAGGCCCAAGTTTCATACACAATAAATCTGTTTCTTTTAACGAGGTACAAATTTTTTGCCTTTCACTCAAAGCGCTACTATTACTTGGAAAATGCAAAAAAAGATGTGTTAAGTAATGGTAATGAATGATTTAAAGAGACATTCATCTTTATATAATGAGCTCAAGCACAAAATTACTTATTTCTTAAACAGTACACACATTTTGTATGTGGGATGCATAGCTATCATCACTATTGAAACCTGTACGAGTTTATTACTGGGTAAACAGCAAACAAAAACTAGTTGTCTCTTTAAATTTTAATTTAATATTTTAAACTCCATGCAGAATTTTACAAGCTGCTCACAAGATGACATGAAACTTGTTAATATGGTTTAAAGCACCAAACTGAAAGTAAGGGAAAACGGACTATAAGGTAACGTTTTCCTACTATGCATTTTCCATAACAAACAAAAGAAAAACCCACAACTTTAGGTTCTGTCAGGCAGACGAAGTCTTTACCTGAACCCTAGGAACAAAAGGCGTTGTTCTTCTACTAAGGCTTTGGCTCTGGTAAGCAAAATTAAAGAAAAAGCAATAAAACAAAACCAAAAAGGACAACACGCTGGAAACTAAAAGACCAAAAGTAAAAACAAAGACACACAACTATTACTTTAACCACAGCTTTACACCAACAACATATTTATATAACACAAAGTATTTTAATGCAATGCATAAATTAAATCTGCAGATATGTTACCAAGTCATATCAAAACCCTGTGATGGAAATTCTGGCCTTAGGGAAGTCAGCAAGAATTTTGCCACTGATTCCCCAGAAGCAAGGATTTCTTTTTGCAGATCTACAGATAACATTTACAATAGATTCAAAAATAACATTAACAAAAGGAGCAGGTCAGCAAAGTGTGATTTAAAAGTGGGGAAGCAAACATAAGTTCAGCTTGATCATCTCTTTTGGAAAGATTATAAATGCATATTCGGAGACAGAATCAAGTACATTTCCAACATTGTCAGGTTTGCTTGCTTTCTAGAATAAAGCAAGTAAAGTAAAAGGTTTTCTCTTTTATGCAATTTTAAGGGGCATTTCTATAAAAAGCCCTCCTAAATATTTTTTTAAATGATTCAAAGAAAGTTAGTGTTATCTGGTATTAGCATTACATGGGTGAAGGTACAATCAATGTCTTTCAGTTCTCTAGCAATAATGACAGAAATGACAAATGGTATATACAGAAAACCTTAGCATGAAATGGGATCTAGAGCAGTTAGCAAACTTAGTAGTTGCATTGCACACATAGATGCATTTATAACTCTTATTTTTTTGTTATGTAACATTTTATTCCAGACAACATACAGCCTTGTGGCTTCCAGTGGCTACATCAAGACCAGAACAGTACAGGAAACTCTCATAAATTCCTGGACTATCTACAAACTCTAACCAACCATTCTCCATCTTCACCTTAGGTAAACAACAAATGGAGTGGCACAGAAAGAATATCAAGTCTAGAAAATGCATAGGAATTATTTGGCCTGATCAGGGAGACTGGACTAGGTGACCTCTGGTGGTCCTTCCAGCCTCCACCATTCTGTGATTCTCAGAATACTAGTGAGTGGGGGAAGTAGATCACAACAATCACAGCAGTCTGACAGATTTGAATCTGATTTTCTTCCCTGCTCTGTTTTCCTGAGATTACTGATCTATTTTGAAGTGATGGAAAGATGCTACTACTCAGTAGTCCCTTCTGTAAAATATGTACCCAAATTATGGGTCTAGGCAGTGTGACATTGCTGCTGCCACCATCCTCGCTTACTTGGCTTGCATAGAGGCTGGAGAAACCTGTTCCATAAAATGTGCAAAGTAATCTGTTCTCACGCAAAAGCAAGAAGTTGTATAAGAAAATTCAACACTGGATCACAGGACTTGTCTGATGTGCTCCTGTGCTCTCTGAGATGCAGCAGCTTCACAATGCCCCCTACTCCGCAAAGCCCTGTGTATGGGTGCCGGAATGTCACCTACTCATGTACAACAGAAGTACATCTTTAGCTTGCTTCTCCTCCATATTACAAGAGAAATACAGACACTCCAGAATATCACAACCCTAAAAGGTTTAGAATCTCTCCCATCATGCCCCAAGGACTCTCACCTGTCATATTCTGCCTTGGAAAATGGAAGGCAATAAGCAAATTATGTGTACTACCTAAAAAATTTCCAGGGTTTGTTGATAGGGCAATAGAAATTTATTTGTGCAGAGGTACAAAGGGTCAAAAAGAAAGGGGAAAAGGCAAAGGGGGGAAAGGGAGCACATCTCATACTTAACCTAATCCCCCCAATATGCTGATATATTATGTCCTTCACAATGTACAATATCTGCTTCATAATATGCTACATATATTATTACCTATAATTAATAGACCTCTATTTTTATTGTTTTATAAACTGAGTATGTATGTTTAAGTGGTTCTGTGGTTCAGCTGTGCAAGGAAATAGATTAATTTTAAAAATTGCATTCCTTTTCTGTTATAATTCCCATCAGTACCAAAAAGAAATATCATAATTTTATACCTGTATCCATTTACACGGTCTTGTAGTCATATTATCAGTCTCTAAACCTAACTATTGCAAAAGCATTCCAAGTTATACCTTTCATGCAGTACTGAAAAAGTAGCCAGAATGCAGTAATGAAGCGAAGAGCACCAGCACACAAAGGATACTGACTTTTTCAAAATGGTATTAAAGGAAAAACAAATCAGTGGAAAATCACAGAAACAGGAACCAGTTGAAGCAAATAATGAAGCAATAATTGCAGTAACAGTCAAATACGTCCCTGAAAGAACAGTGTGAATCAAAAATGCTACAAATTTTACAGAATACAGATAATATATATATAACATATATATATATATATATAACACAATAGTTTGACACAGCTGCACATATTTTTTTCAATCAAATACATATTGGGTTAATGGAAAGAAGATTTCCTAGCTATGTGATATGGTTTGCTTCATGGGAAATCCTACTAGCCAGTTCTGGAGTGTCACTGTAACCTCAAGTGGAATAAACAGGTACACAGACCAATGTCAATAAGGAGGAAAACACAGAAGACTTGAAGAGATACATATCCCTGAATTATAGAGGGGCATCACTGCAGCAAAACTGGCTAAAAACATGTTGAACATAAAGAAATCCATTCTGAAATACTATTAATATTAAAACCCTTGAAGGATCTGTAGCACTGTCTGCATACAAGCAACTATTTAGTCAAATACTTTAGGCCTCTACCTGAACTGTAGGTACCACTACTTCTGCCCACAGCTCTTGGATTTCACAGCCCACTAATCACAGTTGCCCTAACAGCAGCCCACCAGGACTACACGGAATTAAACAAAGTTCAGAAAATACAGAAAACACTTCCAAAATCTTGCCTACCATTCTTTCCTTCAGATTCATCACACATCTGAATTCAGCTACCATCACCCAGAATGTGAGCTGACCTCCCACTTCCAGATAGAACAGCATTCTGTCCCCATCTACTGCCAGGGCTCTTCAGTTATTCTCCTGCTAGGCATTCACCATAAAGAGCACATCCCCTAATAAATTTGGAATTTAGTACTTCCTTTAATTTCCATCATACTCAGCTATTCAGAATGAATGAGTGTTCCATCAACTGTTCTGTCAGAAAAGAGCTGATTAAAAAAAATGGAAAATCAAGATACTGAAGCTTGCCCATTCTGTAGTGTTGAAATTGAAATATATTTTTGAACAGGGGAGATTTTTAAAATTCAATCTTCCCCTGTTATTTCAGCTTTGCTAAAGGTCCAAAATTAGAAGATCTCATAGTCCATTCTAATTTTTCAAAACGTCTCCAACTCCATGAAGAGCTGTTTTTTTCACTCTTACAAAGTTTCAAAACTGTTTGAAGTCATAAAATAATAAATCAAGATTTTAAAAAGTGAAGGAAAAAATAGTCATTGCACTACCTCTAGACACATGAATGCCTAAGTTTTAAAAGTCAAAAAAATTCTGATTTTCTAAACAAACTTGAAATATCAGATCAAAAAGGAAAAGAAAAAATGTTGCTGTTGAATACTTCAGTTCTCTTAAAATCTTGAAAATATATTTTAGTCAAGGCATTTCAATGTGCCCAGCTAGGTGCTACATTACTATCTATCCACACCATGTTCAGAGATTCTGACAAGCCACCCTTCCTCACAAAGCAAACACTTTAGTACTAGCCTCCCAAAGCTTTGAGCCAACAGCAGCAGGAGCTAGGTTGTGCCATTAAGATGATTAACATGAAATACAGCTATTTACAGCTTCTCTTTAATTGGTGAGGTAAGATAAGCATTCAAACCTTCAAACTGTCTACTAATATTAGGTGTTGACATTGAGACAGTGGGACTTTAGAGAGTTACTGAGAATTTCTGACATCAGTGTCACTCGACTGGAGCTGTGTGTTCTCAGGGATCAGCTGCTCTCTGAAGAAAATAAGGATACTGTGTAGTAGGGAGTACTGTATAATTGTAAACAGTACATAAGGAAGTACAAAGAGGACAAACATAGGAAAGATCTTTAACTGTCTTCTGACATTTTGCTTCCTTAAATGGAAAGAGGTGTTATAAATTTATTACTAAAGGCATTTATATCTTGAAACAAGAAAAAAAAAAAAGCAATTAAAACCAGGAATGATGCCTTCTTGAGTTAAGCACTGAATTTATATGGCATTCCAAGATACAAAACCTTGTGAATTCCATTGTGAGAACGTACCTCCAAATCTTCTGATACTATTCTAACACACCTCAAGCTGCAATATTCAATCAAACCACAAAATCAACAGACTTACTGATCTTACTAATAAATCCTAATCTTAAACTCCTGAAGATTTTGTTTCTGAACCTGAGAAAGTGAGGAAGTCAGTTCTGTGTGGCTCCTATTTGTATCATCATTCCACAGTGCTTGTGCATTGGATGTCTGAGCAGCTAACTACAGACCTTGAATTTCATGGTTAGGGCTAGGAACCAAAACATTTTGTTAGCCTAGTTTTTTATGATAGTTAGCCAAAAGAGATTTCTTTCCCTCACTTCCACTATCAACAATTTTTGCTGCATTGCAAAGCTAAACTGATTTTTAGAAACCTTGGTCTGTGTATTTTGACAGTTCATGTTCTCTTGTAATTGCATTTTGTGCAAAGAACTTTGCACTCTACAGTCAAGATTTCTAGTTTTTCATTTATCCAAAGGACTGAGTCTTTCAAAGTAGTTAAGTAAAACAGTTACAGAAAATTCAAAATTATATATTGTAGATGGTTGGGCTGATGAGCAAAACAAATAATGTCTCATGCATTGCAAAATGGAGCCAACATGGCTGCTGAATTGAAAATGACCCATTTCTTCATCTCCTCTATCAATACCATAAACCATTTCTGTAAGACCTTTAAACAGCCTGCTTAGATTTTATGCATATTTTAATGGAGCACTCAACATAAACAACTTGGAAGAAATATGAATGTGACATTTTTAAACATGTTTAGCACCAGCTTCACACTGCTTCTACTCCATTTTCCTCTCCTTTTCAGCATGTAACAGGCCACAACTGAGCACTTTTGAAAAATCACACTTTGGAATTGTCAATGACACAGAAAAGTGTACAAAACTTCAGTCTAGTACAAAAAAAATACCATTATAAAGAAAACATTCATGTAATGAACTTTGTTCTCAATGCGAGTAAGAACAAAAGTGAGTAACACTGGTACAAAGAATACAACCAAAGTAACATTAGTAAACAACCAAAGAGAGATCTGGGAAAGGTATATATGAAAGCTAAGGCATAAGAAATAAGCAATATTAATGTCCAAGCACACAGGTAATAAAATCTACCAACTGTTCATCTAAGTATTACAGTTGAAAAAGTGTATACACTCAACACCACAAATGCAACTGGAGGCCATGAGACCTTTCTGAAAATTTGACTCTACCAATCTAGCTTAGTAAAAAAATATACATACATATACGCATCTCTAATTCAACATATATAAAATTTCCAAAAACTAATAAAATAGAATGCCCTTATGAAACTATGGCCCTATCTACTCTGAGATAAAAATAAATGCAGCATAATTTATGTTAGAAGAAACCTGCACTCTGCAGTGAAAGTTGTATATACTTCAAAAAGCACAACAGTAATATCAATGAAATGTTTACATACTGAAAGTTGTCCAGACAAGAACTGTGGAACATCCCTTAACATGCCTGGACTCATAGGAGAAGTCACTGAAATAGAAGGTCGGTCCATTTTTTGAGATTCAAACGAACTAGAACCTGTAATCATAAATAAAATACTATATAAATAGTAGCACTTACTAATTTTTCACAACATTCTTTAAATAAAAATTGTAGAAATATAACCCGACATATAATAAAGCTTTGAGAAATGTAAATTTTTAATCTATTTAAAATTATCAAATAATGATACTAAATCTTTTGCTGCTCACATGCAATCAAAAGCTTTTATTTATAGAGTAAAAAGAAAGCTTTTTCAGATAATTCTGACCATAATCATGTTAGTAAGATGAAGGCCCCAAATTCCTACATAGTAAAGTAAATACTTAACTGTGGTCAAAATAATTCAGTCTTATTATTATTACCTTGTACAGTCAGTCAAATTTCTAATTAGATTTTTACAAAAACATCAAGATGCATGTAATGAGTTTTGTGCATTTTGTTTTCAAACCTAAAAGGTTTGCAAAATGTCAGAGGACAAGTTTTGACATATAAAACATAGAATAAAAGTAAAGTATTTTTATAAATACAAAAGACAATCCACACCTCACAAAACATAAAATGGATTTTATTTTAAGACTTGGCTGATCAGTGGAAAATTTTGGAGTTTGTCATATTATTATAATCAAGTTTCTGTCGCTGCATTTATTCATAGCTTCTATTATAAAAGAATTCTGAAACAGTGATAAAAAACAACTCCAGGCTTAAATCCATCATATCAGATCAAGCCAAAGAACAAGTAATTTTCCTCACATGAAATACTGAGTTAGCCAATTTAAGGAATGCTGAATGGTTCTGATAGAGTGGAAATATTCTGATTTCAAAATAGCTATCTCTCAGGTTGCAAATAAACAACATTTCATCACCATTTTTAGTTTACACGGTTCAATTGAGATGTAAAACAACAGGAAATTAAAAAATATTATTAATGTTTCTGTATATTAGTTAGAATTATACTTTTCAATCAAAAATAGCCTAAGCCTATAACCAAATGTCAAGCCTAAATCAATATCCTGACTTTTGATAGTTTATTATTAAACAGAGGTAGATAGATAATACAGTAAGATGACATATTGAGACAAATATGCACAAAGAGACAAAAGCTATACTGACTGTAGATGACATTTTTCAATCTTTTTGTGCTTACATAAAAGAGAGATTTTCCTACCCCATAATTGAAACTTACTGGACTCCAGCTGTGCATGTGTGCTGTCAGGTATTCTGGGAATGTCCCTGAAATCAGGAAAATTAAGAGAGGCTGATCCTTTATCTAACAAGCATATTCAAATTTCAGTTACGCTATAACACTTTTCAAGTTAACACGGAATGCCTTGGGAAAGGTGTATGATCTGCTGGCTGTCTTCAGCCACGGGGAAGACTAATCTTTTATTCAGTATAAATAATTTCATTGGCTAATTAAAGCCTACAGAGCAAGTGGCTTGGTGGATGCAGGAGAGAGTCTGCACAGTCACAAATAAAACAGTTCAGTAAATAAAAAAAGAACAATCTCAGAGTTAACAGTAGACTAAAACTGCGAGGAGTAGACTTTATGATGACATTATACAATAACTAAATTTACTGAACCCTTATTCAAATATATTAAGGTGCCAATAATGGCAATCCCAAAATGTCCTTTACTGTCCTTGAAACCCAAGTTTGGACAATCTTACCTTTTCCATGACTAAATAAAATGTGCAAGTTCATTTGGCAAAATTGCATACTTGCATATACATGAGATGTTTCAACACCTGTATTAAATCATGTCTACAGCTATGCAATTTTAAAGCACTCAATTGCAATGACTAACTCATTATGCCCACCCACCTCCAAAAGGAACATTCTTCCTGTGAGGGGCAAACAGTACTGTATGCTAATAAAAACTATCAATATGCTAATAAATACTTTCAGAGGCATTTGAGCAAAACCGAGCAAAACCATGCAGAACGAAGAGCTTCAGCTCTGAGCCACAGCAAAAACGATATTTAAAATCATGATGTGTGTGGTTCAGTGCAGTTGGTTTCTGCAAGTCTGCACTGGGTGCCAGGACCCACGTGCTGGCAGAGGGGGCTGTGGGGTGGCCTCTGTGAAAGGAGGCTGGGCTGCTCCATGCTGGACACAGCCCAGTACAGCCAGCTCCAATGGACCCACTGCAGGAAACAGCTGAGCCCATCAGTAAAGGTGGTGGTGCCTCTGTAATAACATATTCAGGAAAGAGTTAAAAAAAAGTTGTGCAGCAGCTGTGAGAGAGTAGAATAAGAAAAAACAAAACCATGAAAGAAACATCCCTGCAGACACCAAGGTCAGAGAAGAAGGAGTGGGAAGAGGACTGACTGCAAGCCCCATGCCCCATCCCCTTGCACTGCTTGGTGGCGCAGGGAGGTAGAAGAGCCAGGAACAAAGGAGTGAATCTGAGCCTGGGAAGAAGGGAGGTAAAGGGAATGCGGGTTTATTTCTCACTATTCTGTTCTCTTATTAATTCCTAATAAATTAAATTAATCCTCCCCAAGTTTGCCCATGCTGGTAGTTGCTGAGCGATCTCCTCATCCTTATCTTGACCCATGAGCTTTCCTGTCTTATTTTCTCCCCCTCTCCTGCTGAGGAGGAGAAAGGACAGAGTGGCTCGGTGGGCATTTAATAGCCAGCCAAGGTCAACCTACTAGAAAGCTATATGAAAAGGAAGCAGAGGTTAAAAATACTTCCCATGATATCTACTATCCAATAACTGAAATAAATCAGAGAGCATCAGTAAGCAAAACTTGTCAGAAAATTACAAGGGTTATTGAAGAAGTAAATATTAATTTACATATTTGCTGTATACAGAATTTATAAAGGGACCCAATATTTGCCGATTACTTTACTCAGAAATACACTCCTGCACCTAACTTGTAATTTCAGAAAGCTATTTCGATTATGTGAGTTTGAGAAGAAAACCTTGAAAATATGGATCACTGTGAACAAATTGAATATGAGTTTTCTCTGGATAGCTGAAACAATAAACCTGAAGGCTTTGAACACTATCATTTATGTTCCTAAGGCATGCATATCCCCGTACTTCATGGTAGCAGGATTGGTATTTTTTAAAAGGAACTATCACTGACATTAACAGGTATAGAAGAAGCAGAAGTAGTTTTAGGCATATCTTTGCTTTTTAAGATATGTCCCACTCCAAGAAGATTGCATCATTCTTTCCAAATTCAAAATGTAGTAACTATGAAAATAACATGAATTTTAAAATTATTTCTGAGAATTAGAAAAGCAGAAAATAGGTAAGTCCCTGTGTATAAGAGACAGCCAGGTAACACAGAGTAACAACTTGGCCATCAAATTTTATTTTAAGATGGAAAAAGGGATAAATTGCAAGCCAAAATGGTATCTTATTTTTTCTCAAGGAGCTTTCCATTTTATCTTCCTTTATCAGCTCAGCTAGTTATCTTCAGTTTTCATAGCAATCAGCCCATAATAAAATGAAGAAGAACTAATAATCATGTTTACTGAAATTTGCTTTTGTATTCAGAGTATTAGGATGTGACAATAGGTTCTCTTTGTCAACTAAGTTAATTACCAGTAGCTGTCAGAAGATTTCCGGCATGAGTTAATGTGTTGCTATGTGACCATCTAGAGACTCTCTTTGTAAGTAACAGGATATTCCTCAATGCGAAAGTGAAATCCTTCAAGTGGGCATCAATTATTCTAGTTACAATAAATACCACTCCTGACATCTGGTAAATCTGAACTCTTAATGATTTTAATCACATTAAAACTTTATTCCCTGGGGCAGAACACAAACCTATGGTGTTACCGTTTCCTTAGGCAAGCATAAGGTATTAATTTCTATAGTCCACTTAATTATAACCCAAAATCTAAACTGAGAAGATCCTACAGAATTTCCAGTTCATCAGCTCAAATATCATTAGAAAAAAGTAAAACTAATAAAAAAAACCCTGAAGTTATGCCAATAGCAAAATCCAAAGAGTTACATACATCTAAGAAGAATCTAAAACCTTACCAACTTGCAGAAAGCATTCATCACTGAGACTACAATTATAAACCCGTTTAGATTAGTAACTTGGTTTTTGGAGGTGAAAACCCCCTCTGACATCTACTCCAAAAAGAAACTGTGAATAAAGTGTACAGAAAAACTTTTTTAGCCCTGATCTGACTCAGTTCTTCAGACTATGTGGCAAGCAGTTAATGCTGAAGAAGGCATCTTGAGAGCCTGCTTCACTTTCTTTAAGGAATTTTAGATGAGCTGCTCTAGCGACAGCAAGTGGAGCACATGGTAACATAACAGAAGACATGATGATAAGGAAGGTAAGCAACAGACAGTAAATATAAAAGCACAAGAAAGAATACAGCAGGTTTGCACATTGAAAAAAAATGCAGAAGGAGAAAATAAATTGAATATTTTCAAGAAGTGAGCAGTTCCTTGAAACTTCTGCTATAAACTTCTGTTTGAGAGAAACTATGAAAGATCTTACACCTTATGAAATGAATTTGGAACCTCTTTTTCCGAGACAATATTTTTCTAGTAACATAGTCTGTCCCTTAGCATTCCTAAGGATAGGACAGATGACACAGCCTTTGCACTAAAGGGGTTGTGATTCAATATGTATGTAGGAAATAACTTCTCACTAACAAGATAAAGCAAATTTTGTCATTATCAAATTTGTTTAAAATTTTCAAACCAAATTAGGTTACTGCACATTAAGTTCTGGATGTGTCGAACATGTTAAGTACTTATTACAGCTGAACCGATAAATTATCCTCACTGAAATTCTGTCTTCATATTATATAGTTCTAGACTTTTTTATGCTTCTTAATTTTTAGTTGTAATATTGCCAATGCTTTCTCGTAAAAAGGTAAGATAATTATGTGCATCTAATAAATATATTTATCATGTTCATCCAATAAATATATTTATTAATATATAATCATGGAATCACAGAGCAGACCAGGTTGTAAGGGATCCTGAAAGACCATCTTGGTCCAACCTCACATGGAAAAGGTAGTCTAGATAATATTACCTAGCACCCTGTCCAGTTGTGCCATATACATCATAATAAATTTGGTGGGGGAAAGAGAAAATTCTTAACAACTGTAGGCATCTTCAAATTCAGTGATAAGCATTCCCCTCTACACAGCCGTGGTGTGATTAGCTATGGAGTTTCTAATGGAGAAGCAAAAAATGGATGAATGTGACTGCAGGCTGTAGGAACTTGGAAGAAAAGGAATAGATGAAGAAGGGGAAGTATTCACAGTCTAATATAACAAAGCAACTATTGCTATGCAAGATTTTGAGATATAAGTCTGAAAGTTAAGAAAACGGGGCAATGTAAAGCACCAAAGAAAAAGTTCTGCAGAGTGCTAGCTATTTATTCAGATATGTTCTGTATTAGATAACCTGCAATAATTTAATAGATTTCATAGATGAAGATAATAAGAATGTGGATTCAAGACTTTCCAAAGCATATTGATTATGTCAGTAGCATACTGTATTTTGTGCAATTTCTGCATTACATACTCTCAATAAATTGAGTTCAGCACAATTCATAGACTAAACATAAACATAATTTTATACATATTATATAAAGATGGGAATGGAGAAATAAAAATCAAGAGTCAAGAACTGCAACAATAAAGAGTATAACAATTTCAGAGCAAATGTTGGCTTGATCACCAAGTAAAAAACTGCAGAAGGGAACTTTTTTTTTACCATACTGGCATACATTGCCTGGGACTTTCTCAGAGAACACAGAATTTCACACCAGCTCTCTTTAATTACTGTTGTGATCTATCATTCTAGCTATGCTTTGGTTTACAGAATTTTGAAGACAGTTTTACTGTTTACAATTTTTACAAATCTGTTTGATATGCTTTGCCCTAAAAGTGAAATTTAGCAATATTTTTATCATACTTCGTACAAAAACTTATAAAATTACTTACCCTATTGGTCTTGAAACAACCAGCTCTACTTGTGGCTCAGGTTTGGATTCTAAAATGATGTTATACACCTCCTCAAAGGTGGCTCCTTGTAGTAGCCTTCCATTCCATTCTAATACTTCATCACCTATAATTTCAGTAATAACACTCCTTAGGAAGTCTGCTGTGCACTGTACTTACAATGACAATTTAAGCCATTCTACTCTCAAGTTTTCTGAACTGTGAAACCTATGTTGGAGACAAGTCTGGAGTCCTTTATAGAGGAAAATCATGAGTATAAAAGGTTTTCAGCAGCTTAGCTTGAAATATGTGAAGTTCAGTGAAACAATAATATCACCAACAGGTGATATTACTGAGTGAGTGCCTATTGAGTAAGAGACAGCTCTTAGTTGCTTTTGCAACTGTGGTTTACTAAAATCCCAAAATGCTCTTTAGGAAATGCAGCTCTTTAAAACAGTGTATCTATCACATCAACTTACTATTTTGAAGATCCATTTAACTCTACAAGTTTAGTATTTACAGTTCAGCTAGTTCTTATGTTAACAGCTAATATTTCTGATACGTTCTTCAATCTAGCTATCTATGGTTTGCATGTTGGGATAGAAGCAGTTTCTTAGCTGAGCTGGTTCTGTTCACACAATTGTGATAGCTTAGTTTCCTCTAAATAAAATATGAACTACAAAATTACTGTACAGAACAGTAGTGGAATAGTATTTTGAGTATAAAAGCATGAGTAATAATGCGAAAATATGGTTCTGAACAATGTGAGAATTTATCTATTTGACAAAAGAAGTAATGTCAATAATCTAGTAACTAAATGTCAGGTTGAATTCTGCAGTAGTTCATCATATATTTTCAACATAATTTCATAGCTAATTAAACTCACTCAGTTGTTATCACCTTCAGAAAAGCGACTCACCAGTACAGGACTATAGTAGATACATACCTGGTCTAAGATGCCCCACCGTATCAGCTAAGCTTCCTTTTTTAACTTTGGTGATAAATGCGCAGAGTCGACCTGATTCAGTCATCTTTCCTCCCACTACCTGTTTCAAAGAGGAAGTATTTTCATAGAATGAAAATTACTTTAAATGACTTCAATGTTCTGGCAACAGAAAGAAGAATTCAGTTATGTTCCTGGTTTTCAGGTAGCCCAGGTAAGACACAGAATATTAGCTATGACAGGTTATGTTTCTATCTATTCTGGCTACTTGTGCAATTTAAACACAATGCAAATTTAGAATGCTAAAGCTTTTAGACTTACCAAACATATATATAGTATTTCACTTTATTATAAATTACCACCCAAAAAAAGTAAGCCGTTGGGTTAGGAGACTAATTATTTCAATACTTTTAAACTGAAAACAGATGTATTAATGTAACCAAACTGATGATGTTCACACCGAGCATCAAACACCTCCATTAATCAAATTCAAATTGGCTGGCAATTCAGATGAAAATGCTTGTCATACTGAAGATTTCTCCACAGGAAACTCCAACAGGTTTGACCTTAATATTTATCTTAGAATCAGGAGATTCACATACCAAAATCCATTATAACCGCATGCTCTTCAAATTCTTAGGAGTTTCTTAATAGCCTTCATATTGCAATTTAAAATTTGTAATACTAAATCCAGCTTAGGTTGCTTTTAATAATGCAAACATTTGAAAATTTAGGTCAGGAATACTGGCTGAAAATCACTCTCTTCAGATGTGTCTTGAGATTAAAAAGTAGTTCATGAATATCAGTGAAGAGTTCAGCCTTTTAAGAGAAGATTTTAAAATTTTAGATATAGAAGTTTAAACAAAAAGTACTTTATAGTGGAAATATTAGTCTCTTCTCTTGCATTTTCAGACATTAGGACAATTACACACATTCCAAAAGTGCTCAAGTGGCTTCTTCACTGACTTCAAAATAAAATCATTTGTCAATTAAATTAAAAAAATTCCAAAGCATGCTAGTATGTTACAAGTAACTACCCTTATTTAATCCCTGTTTACAGTGGATGACTATATCTAAATCTGTGTACCCAGTGCAGTCAGTGTTATCCTAAATAGAGGATGCAGAATTAATCAAACTTCTTAATAATTTCTCACAACAAGGATGTTGATTCAAAATAAATATATGCTTGTTTCTTTTACTGTGTATAATTCATTCTCATTCTCATACTAGTATTACTGGAACTGCAACCAATATACAAAAATGAGATCAAGACAGGAGCTAGAAATAACTTCATAATATTCAAGGAGTACTACATTATGAAAAAGATGCAAATACATCACTTTGTGATAATGTACAATAAATATTAAATCATTTTCAGTCTTGTGCATTAAAAATGTAGCAAATGAAACAATCGGGGGAGGGAGGAGAATTTTCTGGCTTTTGGCTCTTCCACTGGTAGACTCTGCTCTGGATTGAAATGCCATTGGATTCCAGATGTCCCTCCAGTCCTCAAATGAGCTAATGTGTTTTTCACATTTCTTCCCTCTTTTGGGTAACAGCAGTTATATCTTAGTGCAATGCTCAATACTGAAAAAAGCAGACAGGACTTGGCTTGCCCAGCAAGGATACAATTAGTTCCTTTCAGAACAGACATTCTCATCAAACTTGTGGGAACATGTCTAATCTTTCAGTCAGAAGAATACAAATTTTTGAGCCTTTCAGGGACCCTGTAAAATTACCTGTTAGTTGATTATAAAATGTCTCCATTTTGTAATTTTGAGAATAAGATATTATAGATATCAGTATTCAAAACCTGCATAATATGAGAATATTTTGGTTATAGAAGTAGCTAGTTTACCCACCTTTAATCCAAGCATTGCTCCCGAGTCTCTAGGCACACTTCCATCTTTTAGCCGTTTATTTAACAAAATCCGACCAATGAGACGGTCTCCATCTTTGGATGGTTGCCAAGTTACTGGATGCTATCATATGGTGGAAAATACAGTGAAGAGGATTTTAAAGAAAATATTTTGGTAATACTTTTAATTTCTTGATATTTTTCATGAATTCCATGAAAGTATTATGATTACACTAACATTTACTGTAATAATAGAACGAGAGAAAACTGTGCCGGGAAAGATGTATTTGGATATATAGTCCACAACAGTGCATGTCTAATAGTTTATAACTTTATCTATTTTACTAAATCCAATTTCTAAATATCTAGAATTATCTTTGCATCTTGATTATGCAGATATATACAACTATACATAGTTACCTATATAGAATGGAAATCACACCTTCATACAGACAAAAAACAGCTGTAGAGGAATAGTGTAATACTAAAAAAGTTTAACGCGAAACAGAAAACTGATATAAAACATTTCTTCCTTTTCCACTATTCCAGCCACGACAGTTTGCTCTAAGAAAAACACACATTTTCAGGTTTTTACTTTCTTTCAGTAGTTATATATTAAAAATTATAGAATACCTTAACAGCTATAGTCATTACCCTATTTAAATGTATCACTTCTTTCTTGGAATAATTACTTCACATATAAAGCATAGTTGCAGTGAATGCTATTATTCCATTACTATACATGGGCACAGATGTATATTGTCACAACTAATACAATTTTAAATTTTGTTTTGTGTAATCATAGCACTTTTTCACAGCAAAATATTATTTCATGCTCTATTTCATGCTCTATTTCATGCAAAATTAGCAGGCACAGACAAATCTGTTCCCGTTACAACTAATAACTCTAAAAAGGTTTCTCATAATCTCCACCAAACAGAAAGCAAAAACAAAAAAATATCAAAGCAGATGGCAAAGCCTTTAATTCTGCACAATACTGCACAAAAATGGCATGGCAACAAAACAAAAGAACAACCATGACAGTGAAAGGGAAAAAAGAAAAACAACTTTTCTGTGCAGAGAGACCCAAATTTCTCCGTTTTTCACCTGGGGTTTAAACTATTCATTTAATTTCAGCGCCAGGAGTTTGAACATAGTAAATCAAATAAGCCAATCAGTAGAATCCTTATTTTTAATTACTTTATACTTGAAGGTAATACCATGATATGTTATTATACAACCATAAGAACAAAGGTTCTTCCTTTATGCTTCTCAATTTTTTTCTTAGGCTGCCAAGCAGTAAAAGCTGCAACATGCAGAGACTTTTCATTTGTTTTTCTTTTCTGCACCTTAAGAAATGCTACAGTGTCTCTAGAAACACCCTATCTTTTTATGCACTATCTGAATGAGTGACAGAGAGCAAACAAAGATTAAATGAGCAGGTTAAAATGCAGGCTCCATAATCTCAGTACCTTCTCGCTATGGCTATGTTCCTCGTTTAGAGTTGTGCTACTACACGTATCTACCCCAGAGTCTTTTATCTGAGGCTCAGACCATTCCAAGTCCTCTTCCAGAGAGTGGCCACCAAAGCACACCATTTTCTTTTGCCTCTCGGATAAGGTGTTAGAATCCGACAAAACTGCCTGCTCACTAGTTTTTCTTTTTCCCCTTTGACTGTCCCCTATAGGCGTGGGATAAAAAAAAGGATACAAAAAAGAAAACATGCAAAGGTGTAAATAAAACAAAGGAAATGTGAAATGTAAAGGAAACTAAATGGTAAGGCTCCACATGTCTCACCAAAGACATTGGGGATGCCTCACTGCTATGCCAAGACGTATGGTCCAACCAGTTGTAATCCATGTCTCCTGTGAGAATCAGACAGACAAGATAGTGCAGTAAAGGAAAGGTGAAAGGACAGAAAAAGATACAGTAAAATTGTAAAGACTTCTGATTATCCTATCTGATTCAGAACCTCTGCTAGTAGGACTCGCAAAGTGCTTCCCAGAAAAAGTTAAGGCTTCAACAGCAGAGTACATGGAATACGAAATCCAGTGAGAAAGGAGGTATGTTTGTGTCTGTGCGTGCATGAAATTATGTACAGTGTAAAGCATCACTGCTTCACCATTTTTAATTGTTCATGTAAAATTACTTACAGTAAATTAAATTAAAAAGCAAACTGTGTTGTATTCCTAAAAATTTTCAGAAAGGAAAGCATTTGAATATTGAATTATTTTGCATGAGGTACTTTTGCCATGGAATTTCCAGTGCTGTCTTACCTCTGCCTCCAAAGACACTGCTTCAGGTGAACTGAGTGAAATAATCAGTGAGCTCATGAAGATCTAACCCTTACTACATGAATATACAACTGGAGATATCCAGCAGATAGTAAGATTTCTAGTCTATGTATTGCCTGGTATAAAAATCCTGGGTTTAAAATATATTTAAAAATGAATCTTAATTGAGGAAAACTTATCTCATTACAGTAATGATGAGTTCTCAGCTCTAACCACATGAACTAAAGGCACATGAGCCCATTCTTTTTTTTCTTAGCAGTTATTTCCTGTAGCATCTGTGTCAACTGCTGTACTCAAAACCAAAGTTTGACTAAAAAAATTTGTGATTTTGTTCCTTATAATCTGGTATCTAATTCTAGGAGCAAAGCACTGAAATAAAATGGGCTTTATAAGCACAACAGTTAAAACTGATCATTCTCAACAATACTAATTCCTGACTATATCTCCAAGTGTATACTTTTATTGAAAGGACTACATTTAAATGTAGATATCTACCATTAGGCAAATCTACCACTGCAAATTACTGGACATTTTTTAAGGTTTTAAAATTCCCAGCAAGAACCATGACTATCACTTATAATCCAAACGAAGCCACCAAAAAAGGAAGCCAGGAGTATAGCTATATTTCCTTGCAGCTCCACAAGGAACATAGCATTTTACCTGTACTTTAGGAAACCCATCCTGACTTTGACAGCATTCTTATTTGTGCCTTCTCCGTATCAATTATATTTGTATGAGCTTGTCAAAAGCAAGGACTCCTATCAAACTATACTTTCACCTGTGTATCTACATTGAAAATAACTTCTTAAAAATAGGAAAATAAGTTATTGAAAAGGTGAGGCCCCTGGGATATTCTGACCATATACACACAGTCCCACTGCAGATGTACATATACCTAGTCACCAAAAACTGCTCCAATCTTCACTTGCTACTTTTGTGTCCATAATATCAGTATATAGGCATACCCTCAAAGACAGAAATTGTATTAGCTTTACAGTGACTTACTTTACAGTACAGCTGTGCTGCACATATGTAAGTTCATCCTATAGGTGTTTATCTGAGCAAAAGCTGAGCAGTGGTGGGCTCTAACAATTTTTAAAAACTTCCCATTATGCAGTAAAAATAAAATACAGTGGCTATTTGTTTATTGGTTTGGACACAGGTTACTGGAAAACAGTGAACAGTGTGCTGCTGTGGCAAAAAAAAATGCAACAGAATGCTGGGTTACATCAACAAGGGCACCACCAGCAAAGATAAAGAAATTATCATTCCACTCTAGCCAGTGCTTGTCAGGCCACACTTGGAAGACTGTGTTCAGTTTTAGTCCTCGCTATACAAAATAGATGTGGATGGGCTACAGAATGTCTAGAGAAGGGCCACAAAGATGATCAAAGGACTGGGAAGACTGCTACACAAACAAAGGCTGAGAGAGCTGGGTTTATACAGCCTAGAGAAAAGACACCTTAGGGAAGACTGTATCATTGTGTTCCAGTATTTCAAGGGTGGCTACAAAGAAGACAGAGACTCCATTTCTACAAGCAGTTACATGGAAAAGATAAGGCATAAGGGGTACAAGTTACTGCTGGGGAGATTCCAATTGGACACACGAGGAAAACTTTTCACAATGAGCAATCAACCACTGGAATAATCTCCCCACAGAAGTGGTGGATTCCGCAGCATTGGACAATGTTAAGATTTGGCTGGACAGGGTGCTAGGACATCTAGTCTAGGTCATGCTTTGCCTAGAAAGGTTGGACCAGATGATCCTTGAGGTCCTTTTCAACCTATTCTATGATTCTATGATGCTATTTTCTTACCATAGAACTCCCAATTTCTCTCTACTTTCAGGGGGTAAGGTAGGTATTATTTACATGCTGTTAGAGAAATTTTACAGCCAACTCTGAAATAATTGAATCTAGAGACCTCTAATTGTTCATACCAAAATCTGGATATTTATAGTACAAATCTGTACATCTGAATTAATCAGTCTCTGCTCATTTTATAGTCAGTGAAGGGAAACAGAACTTTTTAAGGTGCAGTTTATTTGACCCGTTTTATGTGTGTATGTCCATGTGAAATAAATCATACCTTCATCACACCCAAAACACCTTATTTCTCCTCCACTGTTTATAAAGGAGGTTTCAGTAACTTACTCGTAGAATTAGAGAATCCTTCAGATTTTCATGAGGATCCTACTACCTTAAATTACTATTTTGACACATCCTCAACTATTTGTTTACATATCCAAGAAAATACCAAAATTATCACAGAAAGGACTTAGGACTCATTAATAAGCCTCATGGAAGGCAAATCTAGTGGATTGATTTGATACAGTTAGAAATACCAAATATTTCTTTTGATATGTCATATACTCCCTTTTTCACTCTTCACCTTAGCAGTGCTTTTGGAGACTAAAAGGATCTCTTGACCAGTTTCCGTGTTTTTAAGCATTGGACCCAGGCTCATCTGCTGATGCAACTGATTTCTGCTTACTAAAAAGGTTTCCAAGAGGCCTCTCACCCGTGTATTACTATATTGTGCACCCACATACTACATGTCCAAGATTAGCACATTTATCCCAGCATACCTGAGGCATTAACACATAGAAACTACTTACGTCCAAAAAGATCCTGTTATTCTGCAGCACCTGTTACTTTTATCAAATGGAAAGCCCTAAACATAAACCTGCATAAAGGAACACATGCAAAGTTGAGCCTCTTGCTTCATCAAAGCACTCCCACTTCTTCCTTTACTATTTTCCTCTCTCCTATTCAGTCAAGGTGCAGAAATTTGACTTTCTTTTTAACCTAACAGTGTCTCACAGTAAATACAATTAAAATTGTGAGATAATAAGCAACATCTCCATCCAAAGACTGAATTGTTCCTATCTCTATTCTTTTTTCCATTAAAATATGTAGCTATAACTTTCAAATTGACATAGAAACTATTATAAAGCCCTAGTAGATCATCTAGATTTTTGTCCTTAACACTGCATTGTCATCTAAATGACAGGCCTAAATACTATAGAAGTTATTAAAATGCAATAAAACTATTATTAATTAAATATTTAAACTTGTAAAAATATAGCCAGGATGACTGTTTGGAGGCCCTGTAGCATATTATATTTCTATGAGATATGTAATGCTTAGAACACTCACACTTTTTTGACATACAACAAATGACCTGATAAAATTACTGTACATAAATTTTTCACTACAAGTTCTATAAATATTAAAATCTTGACTGGGTAGATTACTTGTGAAATCTTGCAAAATTCAGAGTAATACATGTAAGACGTTACATGTTGGATGTGAGGGTAATCTGGCTGCAACATCTGTCACCCCATTGATCGCCAGGGTTGATTCACCTGATCTGGCTAGCTGGGCGGGTGTCCCCTTCCTCCCTCACCACCCCACGTGCATCCCTCCCGAATTTGTGCACTCAGTAGAAGAGGACGACCTTCCCCAATACAGGTGGTACTGTTCATCAGTCACAGGTATACTGTAGCTGTGCTCCCATACTTTTGGCCAGCTCACTGCTCTTCAGGAACCTGCTTAGTAAGGTTCCATGGGAAATAGTCCTAGAGGGCAGGGGGGCCCAAGACTGTTGGTTGATATTCAAGGATCACCTGCTACAAGCCCACGAGTGTTGTGTCCCGACTAGAAGGAAGTGCAGCAGGAGGGCCAGGAGACTTCCATGGATGGATAAGGAGCTCCTGAGGAAAATTCAAATGAAAAAAGAGGCTTATAATAAGTGGAAGCAAGGACAGGTGGCATGGGAAGAGTACAGGGATGTTGTCCGGGAAGCTAGGGACCAGGTTAGAAAAGCTAAGGCCCAGTTAGAATTAAACTTGGCTAGGCATGTGAAAGATAACAGGAAGGGATTCTATAGGTACATAGCAAATAAAAGAGTAGGCGAAAGGTGGGCCCTCTCCTAAAGCTGTCAGGAGAACTGGCTACCATGGATTTGGAGAAGGATGAGGTTCTGATTGACTTCTTCGTCTCGGTCTTCACTGGCAAAGGCTCTGACTGCACCACGCAAGTCTTGAAAGGCAGACATAGAGACTGTGAGAATGAAGAACTTGCGCCCACTGTAGGAGAGGATCTGGTTCGAGACCATCTTAAAAATCTGAATGTGCACAAGTCCGTGGGTCCTGATGAAATCCATCTGCGGGTCCTGAAGGAGCTGGCAAATGAAGCTGCTAAGCCAATATCCATCATATTTGAAAAATCATGGCAGTCAGGTGAAGTTCCCTATGACTGGAAAAAGGGAAATATAACCCCCGTTTTCAAGAAGGGGAAAATGGATGACCCGGGGAATTGCAGACCAGTCAGTCTCACCTCTGTGCCTGGCAAAATCTTGGAGCACATTCTCCTGGAAGGCATGC